AATGAAACACACTAGAACCATCTTCCATGCATGTCTAATCAATATAGGACATAGAAGTACTTAAAAAGAAAACTGCTCCAAAAAACTTAACCTTAACCTGGGACGCTGACGCCGACGCCGAGGGTATTACATAAGCTCCCCCAACTTCGTTGAGGTGAGCTAAAAATCCATGTTTTCAGGTGTTATGAAAATTCAATAAAACATGTACAGAAATATACATTGTACATGGATACTGCAAAAATAATATGGGGCAAACTAGATTCTATCAATATTTACCTGTAATATTGTGTTGACTGACGTAATGACGGTGAGAATCTCTGTAACCGTGACGTCAGCCATTAGAACTTCCTCCTGATACGCCAACAAACACTCGACTACTTCCTGTATCCTTGACACCTGTAACAGGTAGCAAACAAACAGAAAATATTTAAATGGTAAACAGATAACACGAAAGTAGAAAATAACGAAACACGCCCACTTCTCTATAAAATAAGTCTAGTGGGGTGAGGTTTAGTACATACCTCTCTGTAAAACAACTCTTGTGGTGTCAGATTTACTACATGTACATACCTCTCTATAAAATAAGTTCTGTGGGGTCAGATTTAGTATATACCTCTCTATAAAATAAATCCTGTGGGGTCAGGTTTAAGGAAATGTTGACATCTCGTCTCATCTCCAACACTTTCTTTATGGCTGCATCTACTATACCCGTAAACCTATAGAGGTTTTGTATTCAGTTAATTATTTCATATAAAGCACACATTTGTTTTGCTAAGTAACTTCTTTTATATTGTTATAACATTAAAGAAGGTTTCAATTTGTAGTATTAAAAAGTCACACGTCTTTTTATAGATACATGAAACTCCCTCATGGTTCACAAATTATGTGTCTATCATTTTATAGATACCTACTCCCTGTGTAATTGCTGTTTTGCAATAGCGGCCTGTACTTTTTCTGCACATTCACATATCACACATCTATAGAGAATGATACCCATACTTACTACATGTCTATTTATAGATACTTACTCCCCATGTAATTGGCGTAATGCAATGGCGGCCTGTACTTTTTCTGCGTGTTCACACATCACATGTCTATTCATAGATACTTACTCCCCGTGTAATTGACGTAGTGCTACGGCGGCCTGTACTTTTTCCGCGTGTTCACACATCACATGTCTATTTATAGATACTTACTCCCCGTGTAATTGACGTAGTGCTATGGCGGCCTGTACTTTTTCTGCGTGTTCACACATCACATGTCTATTTATTGATACTTACTCCCCGTGTAATTGACGTAGTGCTATGGCGGCCTGTACTTTTTCTGCGTGTTCACACATCACATGTCTATTTATAGATACTTACTCCCCGTGTAATTGACGTAGTGCTATGGCGGCCTGTACTTTTTCTGCGTGTTCACACATCACATGTCTTGTCAACATCCGTGTGTCCCTTATGGTTACTAGATTCAACTGCAATTCATAAGAATTCATTCTTTAGAAAAAAAAGATAAAGAAGTCCAATACTCAAATTCAAGGCAAAATAAGTTTTCTCCATTAAAATTTAATACTTTTTTCTTACTTTAAAGAAATTCTCACCTGTTCCCAGAGACTCATCTTTTTGAGGAAGTTGATGACGTACTCGTGAGCGCGGAGTTTATCTGTCAGCTGATTGATGATGATTAGTGAAGTGGTGCTACTGGTGGCATCTATAAACAATAAATGATTATCAAGTTTCTGATAATTACCACCACGAATCAATAATTCTTTGTACTAGTCACAATATATGGTTGTTAATCTCTCATGAATATAAAAGGCAAAGATCCCATATGAGCCTCATGACCAGTTGCCCTTTGACCTCTCACCTTGTCTCGACTCCGCCCACCGTGGATCGGAGGCGGGAAAATCATCCACGAGATCTCGGTCAAGGGAGACAACTATCTGATCTAAATCTGTGGACACTTCATCAGGGGGAAATAACTCATCAATGGTTGTCTGCGCTGCAGCCTATAGATATAATACATGTACAGACTGAAGCTTGAGATATAACAATGTCTGGTGAATAAAAATCTAAAGCATCAAGGGTTTACCCTGAAGAGATGCTGGAGGCTTGGTACACTGATCATTATACCTTTCAATGCTCCAATCAAAACTATTACTAAAACCATCACAGTGTACAAATAAAGGTCCATGTATAAATTTGATATCAGATAATATGCTTTGCTGATACTTAAGGTCATCTTTGCTTATTGACAAAAAAAAACTATTTAATGTTGTATAACAATTGATCCACTTACAATGTTTCCCCTCATGGTGGCAATAAACGCAGACTTGAGTCGTGCTGTTCTGTCTTCACTCATGGACAATTCCTGCATTTTAGCGTGGCTGGCCGTTAATACAGACTACAAAGACACAATGGTAATCAGATGGGGCACAATATATAAAGTTGAAAATTTTGTAAAAATGAGAATTTTAAGTAATAATTGCAATTCATGAAGAAAAAAAGGTATGCATTGGGGTTGTTTTTGAGATGATAAAAAACCCCAGGAAATTCACTGTTTTATTGTTTATAAAAGTGTAAATAAATACCATGTCCATTGTGGTGAGGTCTTGAGAGGGTTCCTCCATAATGCTAGCAATATTATAATAAAATCATAATTAAATAAGAAAGAGAAACTTTCCTACTATAAAGAACAAGGTTTGGACAGATTATTTTCAGGACTTTGTGAGGGTCTATAAATTAACTTTTAAAAAAAAAAGCAACAACAGATTTATACATGTAGTAACTACTATTTTAGAGATTTTAAAAATCAGACTTTTCAAAAAGAATATCTTTTCATTTTTAATACCATGCTCTTGTAATCGATCTTATCCAAGATTAAATCTGTTTATGAGGGGACTAGATTAGATCATGGAAAATTAAAAGTTTATGTGACATATGTAAATGCATTGGATTGAAAACTAAATAACTTAAAGGTGCAAGTGTATTAAATACTTTCAAATTAACCCCTGACCTGACTTCCTGTTTCTGTGGAGCACTGATAGAAAACAGTCCAACACTGCCTGAGAAAAAAACTCCAACCCCATCACAAGATCCTAGGAAAAAAATTCAAATATGAGAATACATACATCTTTGTAGTTTCTAATTACAATACATCTACATTTACCTCTGCCCATATCATCAAATTTCCAGTTTTTTGAAAATAATAAAATTTGTAACTTCTTAATTATGCCTCCTTGGTACAAGTCTTACATGTAGCTCTTCAGTTGAAAAAATTTTCAATGAAAAATATGCTTTGAGTTAATTTTAATAGAGAAAATTTTAATGAGGTTTTGTCTCAGATAACCTAGTATTACCTGCCCCCAGAATGTGACCCCCAGGCTGTTGTAGATTTACTACCTCATTGGACGGACCTGAAATATAAAATACCTGTGTAAAGTCTCTTCTATATTAACTAATATGTCTATTTGTTAAGAGACAGGTTTTGTTATGAGAGTGTAACAGCTTAGAAAAATATAACTATTACTTCTGTAAAATACGATTTCTTTCTTCATATTAAGTGTGATTAAAGTTTAACTTCAACCTATGCAACCTGTTGGTAAAAATTCAAGATATATATTCATGGAATTAAGATATCAAGGTTGAAACAAAACAGGGACCATTTACAAACCTTAACATACACCTGACAATTTATACATCAATCAATGCACTGAATAATGAAGTTCACATGTCTATCTTATGGAGTGATAACGTTACCTGGTACAAACAGAATTTGGTCCCTGTTATAGATGTATGCAGTAGTGGTCGTAGGATCAGCTAACAACAGTTTATACTTCTGAAGGCTGTACTCAAAATCATCCTGTATATTGATAAGAAATAAAACAAAATTTTTGATTTATCGTGCACTGCAATGAGTGCATTTCTTTTCCAGAAATTTGTACATATTAATTTTATTTGTTTTAAAAGTTGCACTGCACAAATTAAACAAAGACAAGTTCAGAGATACACATTTTTTTTCTAGTAATAACACAAAATAAGTGTGTAAATCTGCAATTTAGTAGATCACCAAAGGTTTAAGTACATTCCTACAAAAAGTCTTTATCAACATAGCTTTTTTTAAACAACATATACATATATAAACGTGATAAAATAGAATTTTGATGCTAAATAGAACAAGAATTTTTTTTACCGAGTATGTGTCCTTATATTCCAATATCATCAAGCTCTCTAATTCACTGGGAGTTCCATTTATATCTGTATCCAAGAAAGCTGAAATAAACAAACCATGACTTTAACTTTAGCTTAAATGATAAGCGTATACTGATATATGTACTTAATATCAATTAGAAAAACTGACATATCAGATATTGCAAGGCCAATATTTTCACATTGAATTTTCATGATAAGGAGCACACGGCAGGTGTGACCGGTCAGCAGGGGATGCTCACTCCTTTATGGCCCCCTATACCACCTCTCATTTCTTGGAGGTCCATGTTACCAATGATTTGTTTTCTTTAACTGGATTTTGAGCCTGAGTACTGTTCATTATCTCCATAATTATTCATACAAAAATTCTCATAATCAATCCTACATCCTTTACAAAAAACATTAACATGTTTAAGATTGTTTGATTTGAGCGACTCAGGTAATTTAATTCAAATAAGTACTCCAAATAATTAAGTAATGAATTAAACTATTGGTTAAATTGAGATTATTTAGTAGAATCCACCTTTCACCCATTGTTGTTTGATGAACACTTTTGGTGCTGTTTGATAAAGAAGGGGGGCTTGGGGTGGAATGAATGTTTCACTGATCAGTTTCCTTAAATTTCTGATATCCTGCTGAGAGAATTTCATTATTTTACTGACAATATTTTAAAAATTTAATAACAAAGCAAACCACAGTGCTGAGATTAAATCTCCACTTTATATAGACCAGGAAGTATAAATACCTGACAGGTAGATATACAGGTAAGCAGGTCATGTGACCAGAACATAACAACAACTGTTTTAGTGGCAGCCATTACGGTCTTAGAAGTCAGGTAATGTTTATATAATAATTATTTAATTAACATTTTGATATTTTGGTCAAAAATTTACCAAATATAGTTAACAATAAATACATGAGGATAGCAATTGATATTTAGCTATATATTTTTCAAAAAAAAAAAAAAAAAAAAAAAATACCAAGAATTTTAAAGGTCAATGAATAACGATTGAGTCACCCAACTCCGAGTTCTATGTGGCAAACTCAACACCAACCCTATACCCACATTATTTATAATTTAATACAGGGCTAAGTAATAATTATAGAAACAGTTTGCTTGATTAAAGTCCTTGAGACAACAAAATTCCAAAATGCAATGTATTTGCAATACAAGTATGAGACCGAAACCCCTTCCTGGGGCATGAACCCATGGACTTTTGTATTTTACTGTTCATCAAAAATTTAAAATAAGAATAAAATAACATAAAAACTCTGTAATTGCCAAACAAATAACCCTAAAAATTAATTTAAAATACATGTATGTTATGTTTTTCCTACTGAGCTTTATTCTAAAGCCTAATTAACTCTATACTTCAGAGTCAGAAGTTAAACCATGGACCCCCGTACCAGTGCCCAGGACGTAATGCGATGTGACCTGTGTGAGACCACTGTGGTACAGATGCACTGTGATACATGTCTTGTCAACCTGTGTACAGCTTGTGTAGGAAAACATATGATATCTGATGAATCCAAGGACCACAAGGTCGTCAAATTTCAGGCCAGGAAATCCACCCCCCTCTACCCTGGATGTACAACTCATAGCAAACAGCAATGTACAATGTACTGTAATAAATGTGACATTCCTGTTTGTACAAAGTGTCTAGCATCTGATCAACATCTGGGTCATAAATTATCAGAAATCTTACAGATTGTGGATGAGAAAAAAGACAAGATTTTAAAAGAACAAACTGAATTAAAGGAGAAAATTTATCCAAACTATAAAGACATTGCCTCTGATGTAAAAAACAGAATGAGTCAGTTACAAAAGGAATATGGAGATCTCTCAACAGCCATAACAAAACATGGAGAGGACTGGCACAGAGAAATTGACAAACTTGTCAAGAAACTGAGAGCTGAAGTTGATGAGATGAAAAACACACAGTTACAAACTCTACAGAAACATCTGGATGAAATAAACAAGACAATGTCTGACATCAAGGATGAAATTAATGCAGTTGAAATGGCTATAGACACTAATGACTTGTCAAAACTGTTTAAAGTCACTTCAAATGTAAATATATACAGAAGCCTTCCACAAAAGCTAATACCAACTTTATCCAAATTTATTCCAGAAAAAATTCAAGAAGAAAAACTCGGTAAAATGTTTGGAACTTTATCATCAGGTTCTTTCACTTCAGATAAAGATGGCTACAGAATGAAGACGACACAGAAATCACTAGAAGCTGGATCCTCTCCTCCAGTTAAACAACTGCTTGATGAACCAGAGACGGTCACCACCATAGACACTGGGTATGAAGTACTTTACAATGTGGCCTGTCTGAGTGATGAAGAAATCTGGACAAGTGGAAATGACAGCACCATGAAACTCTACAGCATCAATCAGGGATCACTACTCAAGTCAATCGCAACTAAGTCAGGGAAGGAACCATATGACATAGCAGTGACAAAAAGTGGAGATCTAGTTTATACTGATTACTGGGATAGAACTGTGAACATTGTGAAGAATGAGAAGATAAAGGAGGTGATCAGACTACAGAACTGGATACCTAAAAGTGTCTGTAGTACCTCCTCTGGTGACCTCCTGGTTATCATGACCAGTGATGATAGAAAGCAAACAAAAGTTGTCCATTACTCTGGCTCCACAGAGAAACAAACCATTCAGTTTGATGATAAAGGTACACCTCTCTATTCATCTGGTACTTATTACAGATACATAGCAGAGAACAGGAACCTGGATATCTGTGTGTCTGACAATGGAGCTAAAGCAGTAGTGGTGGTCAATCAGGCCGGGAAACTGAGATTCAGGTACACTGGACATACTCCCGCTCCAAAGAACAAACCATTCAATTCACGTGGAATCACCACAGACAGTCAGAGTCACATCCTTATAGCTGATTATAACAATGACTGTGTCCACATCATAGACCAGGATGGACAGTTCCTCCGTTACATAGACTGTGGACTGAGTGAACCCCGGGGACTGTGTATAGATACAAATGACAATCTGTTTGTTGCTCAACTTAGAAACACACAAGTGAAGAAAATCAAATACATGTGTTGATATTAGGGCTGTGTATTGATCAAATAAAACCTATATAATACAGTACATTATTATGCTTCCTGTCAGTTTGTCTCTATATAACCCGTACCCCAATATTATCGCATAGTGTTCTATGGATTTATATAGAGTAAGCATACTTTGCCGAAATAGTGCACGGCTTCCATTTCTGAAGAAAATCTGACAGCGCCCATACCGGGGAGCGAACTCACGACCCCAAGCTTGTCAGTCCGACACGCTACCGATTACGCACCAGACGCCGTTATCTTTCTATATATGTACTATAATGTATATAAACTTAGTTTCAAATATTTTATCAATAAAGAAAAAAGTAAACAAAATATTATTTTCTAAAATAGTTTCTCTCAATTTTGCCCCCTTCACTCAATTATACTTCTCTAAAACTATATGTTCATTATACCTAACGATTGGAAGTTCAAATAAAAGAGAACAGATTATGACGTATATGAAGCAAAACATGACATCATAATTTGGGCTGTACTTGCATGAATGTGAGAAGTGATGAAACATTGGAAATGGAGAAAATATAGTCATTTTTATACAACAGTCAGCATAATAATAACAATAGTGTTGTGTTTTGCATGCCCTTTGCTTAAATAGTAGTCAGGGTTTGACACTCGCTTCTGGCTCGTGCACTATTTGTCAAACCCTGACTACTATCATGGCATAGTGCACGCAAAACACAACACTATCATATAAATATGAAAACTTAACCATTTTATACACAACTTGGAGCACTGAATGTCTAGTTTAAATTTTGTTCTTGTTAAAACACTTTAAGCATTGTCTGTATTCCCAATAAATTAATAAAATCTATCTTACCCAATCCAAAGTGTACAGTCAGGTCTACATCCATATTGACACCTGCACCAAGAAACACAACACCTTGTCTGAAAAAAGGAAAAAAAAGTCAGCGTGTTTGAATAAGACGCTCAGGGGCCACCTCATTATCATAAGCTTCTCATGCTATGGAACTTGTAACAAAATTTTTACAGCTTTAAGTTAGCTAGGGCTGGAAAATCATGAATTTATGATTATATTCATGACCTTGTTTCATAGAAGATATAATGTAAAGAAAATTAAGTACATTATATATTAAAGACCAATATATATCTTGCTTTATTGTTCTGAAGCTAAACACTGAAACAGGGGAACAAGTTTTTAAAGACTTTTTAGCGAGCTGGCCATTCATTGTAAGCTTGTAAATAATATGTTTGTTAATTTCAAAGAATTTCAAATTTTGAAAGGTGACCTTCAAAAATAAACAAAAGAAGTTTTTGAAACAGTTATGCCCCCCCCCCCCCCCATAGATTGGAATTCTATAAGTCCAAGGAGCGTAACTCTGTCAAAAATTGCTCAAATGTAAAAAAAAAAAAACAGCAGAACTTGAAATTTGGTGTGAACAGACACACAGATAACAGAAAGTTGACTTGGAATCAAACAGAAATGAATCCCACCATATGGAATGCCTACAGATCTGCCAACATTCTGAAATGAAAAATTGTAAGGCATGGTCCAGGGACCGCCTCACCCCCCTGCCGCTGAAGATGATTTGTAAATGGACATGCAATCGAAGCAATTTAAGGCACGTTTCCATTTTGTTTACTTTAAAACATTGACATTGCGATCAGCCATCTAAAACCAAAACGACGATTCAAGCAATCGTTGTAAGGATTATGAATAATTATAATAATAGAGAGTGTATACGGCCAGTTCAGATTCCGTTATTATAAATTCTGATCGAGAAAAACCAAAATTGGAAGCATATAGAGAGAAATCGTAAGGCGTATTTTAGGTGCTAATTTCGTAAGACTTACGCCAAAATCATAAGGGTTGGCAGCTCTGTGCCTATACAAAGCCTCTGCTAAATTTTCAATCATCTGTAACAAATAGTTGCTGAGAAAACTGCCACAAAATTTGTTTGTTACAGACAAAGAATGAGAAGGTGTATAAAACATAGGTAATCAGAGATTACAGAGCTCACCTCAACGAATGTTGTCTTTAAATAAGGCAAAGTCACATAATTAACCAACAAAAAGTGTACATTCCAAAAATGAAAATATTCATGCAATTTTAGTCTGATACTTTGAAATAGACCTATAATATAAAAAATTCAAACTAGTTCTTCATGAAAATGTAATTAAAATCCAGCATCTGAAGCAAATTTGAGAGTTTTCATCCCTTGATGCATCATTTGTGCAAGTTTGGTTTATACAATGTTATATATAAGCCTTATAGCTTTTTGGTAATAGACCTGCACCCATAACTTTTACCTGGTCCATTATCTGAAAAATGTATGTTGAATTCAGCATCCGAAGCAAGTCCATTAGTGTGCATCCTAAGATATATCATCCATGCAAGTTTGGTCATTAAAGAACTCATAGTTACTTGGAAATGAATAATGCACCAAAAACTTTAACCTGTTTACTCAACCAGAAAACGTAGGTCAGATTCAGCATCCGAAGCAAGCCTGGTAGTATGCATCCTTAGATGTATCATCCATGCAAGTTTGGTCAACATAGGGCTTATAGTTACTTGGAAATGAATAATGCACCAAAAACTTTAACATGTTCGCTCAACCAGAAAATGTAGGTCAGATTCAGCATCTAAAGCAAGCCTGGTAGTATGCATCCTTAGACGTATCATCCATGCAAGTTAAGTCATTATAGGGCTCATAGTATATTAGAAATGAGACCTGCACCAAAAACTTTAACCTGTTTACTCAACCGGAAAACGTAGGTCAGATTCAGCATCCGAGGCATGCCTGGTAGTATGCATCCTTAGATGTATCATCCATGCAAGTTTGGTCAATATAGGGCTTATAGTTACTTGGAAATGAAACCTGCACCAAAAACTTTAACCTGTTCACTCAACCAGAAAATGTAGGTCAGATTCAACATCCGAAGCAAGCCTGGTAGTATGCATCCTTAGATGTATCATCCATGCAAGTTTGGACAACATAGGGCTTATAGTTACTTGGAAATGAAACCTGCACCAAAAACTTTAACAAGTTCACTCAACCAGAAAATGTACGTCAGATTCAGCATTCGAAGCAAGCCTGGTAGTATGCATCCTTAGATGTATCATCCATGCAAGTTTGGTCAATATAGGGCTTATAGTTACTTGGAAATGAAACCTGCACCAAAAACTTTAACCTGTTCACTCAACCAGAAAATGTAGGTCAGATTCAACATCCGAAGCAAGCCTGGTAGTATGCATCCTTAGATGTATCATCCATGCAAGTTTGGACAACATAGGGCTTATAGTTACTTGGAAATGAAACCTGCACCAAAAACTTTAACAAGTTCACTCAACCAGAAAATGTACGTCAGATTCAGCATCCGAAGCAAGCCTGGTAGTATGCATCCTTAGATGTATCATCCATGCAAGTTTGGTCAACATAGGGCTTATAGTTACTTGGAAATGAAATATGCACCAAAAACTTTAACCTGTTCACTCAACCAGAAAATGTAGGTCAGATTCAGCATCCGAAGCAAGCCCGGTAGTGTGCATCCTCAGATGTATCATCCATGCAAGTTTGGTCAACATAGGGCTTATAATTCCTTGGAAATGAGACCTACACCAAAAAGTGCACCAAAAATGTTAACCTGCTCCAAAAACATTAACCTGGTCATTCCTCTGCTGAAATTGCAGCATCTGAAACTTTGACTGGTACAATGAAACACACTAGAAGCATCTTCCATGCATGTCTAATCAATATAGGACATAGAAGTACTTAAAAAGAAAACTGCTCCAAAAAACTTAACCTGGGACGCCGACACCGACACCGACGCCGACGCCGACACCGAGGGTATTACATAAGCTCCCCCAACTTCGTTGAGGTGAGCTAAAAATAATACTTCTATTTATAAATAAGACAGGTTAAATTTTTCCTTACTGTGTGGGCTGCATGTCCAATAACCAGGTCTTTAGTTGTGTCAGCTGACGTGAATCCTGGTTCTAAACAACATAAAACAAACAGAATTTAACATCTTGTTTATTACTCTATTTCCTTAGTACGGAAAATGATCATGAAAAATTAACTGTAACTAGAAAACTGACCAGTCAGCAAGGGCCCCGCTTACGGAATGATTCAAAAATATATGAAGAATAAGCAACTCTGTTCTTAAAATTTCAAGATAATTCCTGAATATCCAAAAACCTGTAAATAATATCCTTGTATTTACATAAGGCAGTAGAGAACAACTCCTTATATAAAATGCCAGCCTTCAATGAATGCAAATATCATGAAAGATTGACCTGAACTTCAAAACAAACAGCAGACAAAGGTTTTCATAAGTGACAGCTAAAGATAAGTCTTCTAAATTTTCTGCAGCAGGCTGTACTTCTCTCTCATTATTTCTTTAAAATTATTTTACAATTATAAGAACTTTTTCATAAATGATTGAATGAGGTTTTTATCCAGCTACCTTAAAATTGATAATATTCTTGAATTTACATAAAGCAAAAAAATATATATCTTCTTTAATCTATTTCTTGTTTTTAGACTTCAATGAAATCAGAACTCATTGTGCAGGATATTTTAACAAAATAAAGTACATGTATAAACCTTTATTATACTTAAATCCCCATTTCAGAGTGTTCATAGCATTCCAAATTGACTTAACTTCAAACAAATTTCGTTTGCAGACAGAGGGGGCAATTCATTTCAATGTGACAGATAAAGATAATGCTTTGGATTTTCTTCAGGAGGAAAGCTAATTAATCCCAAGAGACTAATTGCATTATTCAGTTTACTATGGGAACATTTTCAGCAGTTGTCTCTCTTTGCCAATTCATTCTTACATAAAGTTAAGAAATCTACCCCACCACCCCAGCTCCAAACCAGAGGACATAGAGAAACAAATTTAACATCAAAATATGCATTTCTGCCCACTGAACTACCATACCAAATTTAAACTTAATTGGGCAACCATAAAAAAAGTTATTAGGAAAAAACAGAAAATTTGTGGATGGAAGAATGACAGACGGACAGACAGAGTGATTACTATAGGGCACCTGAAAATCCTTGCGGGGCCCTAATGAAACTGACCCAATGCAATTGTTGTATGTACATTTTTCTATCTGTTTTACTATTTTAAAATTGAAACCAGCTTTTTAAGCTACATAAAGTATGGAGAATACAAACATTAATCAAATTCAAAAGCTGTTTGTAATTTAAAGTCATACAAAAAGCATAAAGAAAGTTAGAATATGTAAGCAAGAAAAACTTTCTGTCACAGAAAGCAATAAAATAGTTCAGATAACTTGTAATGCATATCAAGAGTTTAAGACCTTACCCAAACTTTTTTGGACAGAAACTCTCTAAACATTCTCTCAACATCAATCTGACAGAACAGCTGGATAAAAAGAATTGAAAAATATTACATACATGTACATGTAACATCAATATACATGTAAACTGTTCATTAAATGTTATCTATTACATATTTTTTTGTGAATTGCCAATGAAAAACTGTGACTGGAGTATCTAATAGAATTTAAATCTTTCAAAGTTATGGATTGGATCTACACATGTGACATCAATATCTCTTACAAGCATGTAGCAGTTTATTTACAATATTTAAAACTTTTTTTACACTTGATTCCATCATGTTCTTGTACACTAAAACAAGCTTACAGCAAAAAGTCAGGAAAACTATTCTGACATATTATATTATATCCTTATTTATATTTAAATGTAAATTGTTGTATCCCTTAAATTTTTGAAACAGTTTGATCAAACTTTACCGAATGAAAAATAACTCCACTGTAAAGTTGAATTCATCATATGAATGCTTTCTATAACTGTAATTTACAGTACAGGTAGAACCTCCACACTGTTTAAACATGGAATAATTAAGTGCTTCTAATATTTCTAATACTGTATACAGGGTTATTTTCGCCCCGTTTTATTTTTGCACTTTAATGATTGAAAACGATTTCGTCCCATTTTAAATTCGCCCATTTGTAGTTTTGTTTAAGAAATTATGCTGTTATTTTTTTTAATTCGCCCCATTTTAAATTTGCCTAAAGGAGGATAGGGCGAAAGGGGCGAAAATAAAACGGCGGCGAAATTTTCCCTGTATACAGTAATATTTCAGTTTCACACAGTCTTAATAGGAACCTTTTCTATGACAGGCTGAGAGATGACCCATTTCTGGAACTGTGTCCCAGATAAAACATAAAATGGTCGCTCATCTTCATCTTCACATTTCCCACACACAACGGCCTGCAATGGCTACAAAGAAATTGATGGGTTGTCATCAAAAATAAGGGAACTTTAATTTTCATTAAAAGTAATTCAATCAAAATATATTTATTATTAAAATGCCTTTGATGTCACTAATATTGTTCCCTCAAACTGTCAAACATATAACATGTCATATAATGTTTCATCAAAACATGGACTTACTGCCCCTGAGGGTTGTAAGGTGGAGGCCCCGAATATAAAGGATGACATTCGTCTCCCGATTCCTGAAAACATTCCTTGTGATCCCTTCAGAGCGTGGCAGGTCAGCGTATTCTACAAGAAAAATGATATTTGTTATCCAGGCTTATATTTCATACATCCTCAGGCCTAACATTAGAGAAAGGGTATGTAATTCATAACGGCTTACTTGGACAAGTTGTTAAACTTGACTTACCTGTCCTGGCACTGGAGACAGAAGTACAAGAGAACTTGTGGTGGTAGCCAGCAGGCATCCAAACGGCTGAAAAATCAATATATCTCATAAATTACATTCCATCCACTCTATGACTTTAAGGAAAGCTTAGCATTCAAACTCTTAATATACAAAAAGGAATCATATCTAAAGCATGAAAAATCTTCATACACAAAATCCCGAGAAATATTTACCTCAAAATTAACGACACTGGCACACTCGTCTCCTCTGAGCTCTGCGCTGATTTCTGTGGATGAACCTTCGTAGGCGATGTTAGGCCAGTACCTGACGACGCCCTCTGGCGACACAGCGATGCATGACGCTGACTGCTTTTCGGTGTGGCTGGGGATGACGCAGACTCGGTCAGCATTGTGGGCAAGGTCACTTGGTGGCAAGGTCAATTCCTTACAGAAAATGGTCTGAAATAACAGACAAAGTTTCTTAGATGTGTAACTTTGTATGTAATATTACAAAGCATACTTTAAATCTGATTTAATCAAGGCATGGAAAAAAAAAGTACAGGCAAACCTTTTTATTTTGGACTTGTGATGGGACGGACAAAACAAGATTCTAGATATCAAAGGTAGAATACTTAAGAAATATCAAGCACCTGTGACTTCAAAAACACCTTGACACACATTCATTGTATTCAAATTATGAGTAAATTTTAACTGTTATTGTTTGGTTTTGTTTTTTTTTATATTTTATCACTCTAGTGAGAGAAGTAATAATACAAAAATGACTTTTTTAAAAGGTTAAAATTCACAGAAAGCTCAGTGACTGACAATTCTTACCCTGGCACTCTGTCCTCCCTTGTATCTCCAGACAAACAGCTTCCTCCCCCCGACAAGCCACGCCCATCCTGAGGGGTCGACCTTCACCGTTATCTCTGTATGTTCTGAAAAATTAATCAGGATGTTATACACATTCATCATACTGGCTAACAAGTATCACTGTAAGAGGGAAATACTTTAATGCAATTAAGAAAGTTCAATATTTACATTCGCTGTTTTTTTTTCTACTAAGCCAATGTTGAAATTGATATGAAAATTGTTCTCGTGTAAACTCACGGGTAGAAATATACACGGAGAAACGTGCATAACCATGACGTCACAACTGGGCTACAGCGACGTTAGTAAAAGTATAACAATATAGTGCAGCGAGAAATTCATATACTGAGTATATTTTTAGTGCTTCAAAACATATAAAATGTAAATATAAGGAATGTTTTTCAGTTTAGTGTGAATTATTGGTATGAGAATCACACAGACTTGCACGTAGGCATATTTTCATGAAGCACTAGTGCGCTTCATGAAATATGCCTACGTGACAAGTCTGTGTGATTCCAGAGCTCTCGATTCTCTCAAACTGGGGTCGATATTCGGCCCCGTTCCCAATGAAAAAAAGGTATCTTTTTTCCCAAAAGAAAGGTGTAAATTTCCCAATTTTATAGCAAAATATAGTTAAAAAATAAAAGTTCATGACTTTCACTCAGAAAGACAAATAACGGCAATATCAACACTCAAAGATAGTTATGAAAAAGCTAATGTACTTTCATAAATAGCTTACGTACCCATGTTTGTTCTGTTTAACTATTTATTCAAAACCAGAGTTAAATTGATGACAAAATGCTAGAAAAGTAAAATTTGAGGATTTTTTTTAATAAATGTTGGTCATCCAAATTTTCCCAAAATGACAATAATTTTCCCTATTTGAAAGGCCCCGGCCCCAGTCCCAAAAAGTGGTGTGAGTGCCCTGGATTCACACCCAAATAACTCACACAAAACATAAAAATATTCCTTAAATATCAGCAACAGGTGCAAAACATGTATCAAAGATGAACTTGCTAGCATTATCTGCAAGGGCTAAAGCCTCAGTGATGAGGACTGGGAGAGGAGTTTACCACTTTCTGTAGGCAAGTGCTAGAGCTACATGTAAAGTGATGAGACCTATTTTTACCAAGTGTAACACTTACTATCAGCAAGGGCTAGGGCCTCAGTAATGAGGACCGGAAGAGGAGTCCCGAACCCCTCAATCCTGTACCCCTCTGTCTCCTCAATCAGCTGGGAGGTCTGAAGAGATCTGTTGGCGTGGGCTCTGAAATATAAATCAACATTAAAAATCAATAAAAATTGGTTAAGTGCCCCTCCCCCCCCTCATTTCTTCATTGTTCAGGAGATACATGTATGTCCCTTCATTAAAAGTTACTAAAACTTTGGGATCAATCTGATTCTTACAATACAAAATTTTTTGTATGTCCCCAAAGTTTCTTCTTCTTCTTCCACTGTCTGGCCTCCTTCATCAAGTTGAAGATTACACCAAACTGGCATAATCTTGAACTTGATGAAGGGGGCCAGACAGTGGAAGAAGAAGAAGAAACTTTGGGGACATACAAAAAACTGACTTCCGAAACTCGATTTTGATGTAATAAACATTTATGCAGATTTCTATTATTATATCTATTTGGGGGATGGGTCCCAAACTGTTGGTAGTTTTTCTGGTGTCTAGAAAAAAAATATTTACCTGAAGCAATTACAAGGTAAACAGAATGTGTTGTTGCTTTTCAATAAGTTGTTGATAAGTACAAGAGTAAACTTATTTCACTAGCCAGGATCAAAATGAAAGTGGTCCTTTTATATGTGCTTTTTAGTGCAGGGCCTTATACCCTTTCAATAGAAAATTTTCAATCAGCACGATGAAAATTCCACACTCACTTTTGTGTAAAGGATGTTTGTCTGCATTTCGGTGTGAACAGATTTGACACCCGTCTGTTCTGTGATCGAGGATTCACTCCTGAGGGCGTGTACGGTGATGACCTAGCCCGGTTTGATGGGGTTCTTGGGCTAAACATCTTTTCTTTTTGCCGGTGTAGAGGTTTCAAAAAAATTACGGCGCGAGACGTTCAATTTGATAATGCGTTCGTTGGCACTTTCGTATATATGTAAATTATTTTTAAGCCTTTTTTCCTTTAATCTAGTATAACTAAGTACATTTATAATAAAGTCTTATTTGTATTAAAATGTTAATAGGCCTAATAATTGAAATACATTGATCTTTTCTTATTTCCCGCACACGGCACATTCCCATTTTGAGAACGAGTTGTTTTCCTTCGTTTCCATTGAGGTCTAGTAAACGCTTATCAATAGGAATTTTGTATACCGAGTTTGTAAGCCTTTAATTTACTTTGAGGACCGGCAACGAGGAACGCCCCTAGACTAATTTTTGGGGAGAAACATACAATATGTGGTCCTTTTAAGGTCTAATTTGAATGAAGATTAACCATATTGATAACCTGAAATGTGAGATTTTCCTGATGATGAAATATATTTATTCCACGTCGTGATATTTACTGAAGGAGAGAAAAATGAGCGAATCTCCAGAAACCGTAAACCAAGACTCCATCATTGAAATAGAGCAAAAAGGATCAACAACTGAAATTAACAATAAAGGATCGAATGTATCAACTGAGTCTGGACAAAACGAACAAAAAATTTCCAGAGTCGACAATGACACTTCAGCTAGTGGAAATGACTCAGCAAGAAACTCCATTGACAAATCAGCCACGAAGTGGGGAATCCATGAAGATCTAAAGCATCTTCAAGAGGAGGTCAGTATCACATAAAAATTAAAATAAGTGTCACCAGGTGTGAAAGTCAGTCAATGTATCGGGTCTCAATAGCTCTGTTGGTGAGAGCACTGGCACGGTACACCAGAGGACCTGGGTTCGAGTCCTGGTTCAGACTTCACTTTTCACCACCTGTGACATTTGGCGACCAATGAAAAAAACCCTGTTCCCTTGGATTATGCTTCACGCATTTCCTAAACTCATAAAGTTTGAGAGCAATTTACTGGGTGCGTCGATTTACCCAAAAGGACCCAAAAGGAACCCAAAAGGACCCAAAAGGAACCCAAAAGGACCCAAAAGGAAATCAAAAAGACTCGAATTAATATATTATAATACATTAAAATTAATAATTTGAATTAAATTATGAATATTATATTATAAATTTACCTAAAAATTGGCAAAAACATATACATTTATATTGTTGCAACTTTTCTTAAAGAAATAACATACGACTTTTATAACACATCAATCATTAAATCTGGTCAGATATGCTTTGATTTCTTTTAGCTGAATTTAACAAAGTACACTGTATTATTCTATTTCTCCTTCTGTTTTATTATATCTTATTATATGATATTTGATAAATAAAGAAATAAGTTTATTTAATGACATGTCCTAGGCATATGGTATCGGGGATGGGTGGGGGTGGGGGATGGGGCCTCCCACCTCAACCCAAACACGCACTTTACCCTCAAAAAACTAGTTTTAGTTTTAATAAAATATGAAAGTATTCATTATATATCCATTTAATCTCTTTATTTCAAGTCCTTTTGGGTCGTTCTCAATTTCCTTTTGGGTCCTTTTGGGTTCCTTTTGGGTCTTTTGGGTTCCTTTTGGGTCCTTTTGGGTTCTTTTGGGTCCTTTTGGGTAAATCGACGCACCGCAATTTACTACAAAGAATGGGGAATAAGTCACCAGGTTCACAGGTGCATGAAAGTCAGTCAATATATCAGGTCTCTTTAGTTTAGTTGTTAAGAGACTTGACTTTTCACCACCTGTGACATAAGAATATGAGCATAAATTTCTGAAGTGCATGTACTAATTTTTTTTCTTAAAACTATAAAATATTGCATTCTACGATAAAGACCCTTGTCAAGTGATATTAACCAAATATAGACACAGAGAATGACCAGGTGTGTAAGTTGAAATGAAGATTTTTTTATTAAATCTGAATTGAATAAATTAAGATAGCTTGCAGTCTTAACAAAAACTCATTAGTCCGAAGACCAAGGCCATGGAGTGAATTTAGATGTACATGTAGCGTCAGTGAGAATCAAAATTCAAGAAGTCTGATAGGCTTGTAGATTGTCAAAGTCATACACAGTCAAACATATTCAAACTGTCTTAACTAGTGTAAATTTCATGAATATGTTAAATAAAAAGAACAATCATGTGTTGTGTTATTTATGTAACAGGTACATGTATTATGATGTATGTTTGCCCATTACTGGCCAAATAACAATTGAACTTAACTTTAAAACCAAATGAATTGTTTCTTTGCAGGATATCATCTTAGCTGCAACTCTTGTGATTGATGCAAAAGAAGGAAGAAATTTTACATTTAAAACAGACCCTACTTATGTCAGGTAATGAAAATCTAATATAAATTCATTGTGTGTTCAATTTATTCAAGGGTATCATATAGAATATACAATGTAGTTGTGATTGTTTCTTTTAGAAGATCTTTAAAACACAATATAAGGAATAATATATTCTCAGTCACTTAGTAGCATACTTGGGTAGGAAGTTGCAATGCACAGGTAATACAAAGTAAAGGTTTGGATGGTGATGAAAACTGAATTTTTTATTTATTTCATAAATGTCAGCAATTATGGAACTTAAAACTTAAAGCTGGTCAAAATTTTTCTTGCATCAGAACGTCTTTTCTCTTCCACAGGTCATACAACTTGTACCACAAGTTCTACCTGCGGTATCTACTCTACTTCATGATTCTCTTTAACCTGGCCCTGGCTCTGTTTGAGAGGCCGGCCAAACCTGGCTGGGAAATACCCGCCTGGGTAAGTCAAAGACCGGCCTAACCTGGCTGGGAAATACCTGCCTGGGTAAGTCATAGAACGGCCAAATCTGGCTGGGAAATACTCGCCTTGGTAAGTCTCTTACAAGTACAGTAAAACAATATCTTATAGCGAATAGGCTTATATGAATCGACGCCAAAAGCAAACTTAAGGAATTTTCATTCCACTTGACTTAAAAATGTATCTTTGTAAACTTAATCATGTTAATGGATATTTTGAATTATGCTTTTAATGAAATGAAATTGTCGGTCCCACTCACTAAACGTGTTTTACTATCATTATAGTGTGTTTTTCTTAATAAACTGTTTTCTGGGTAAAGTATATAAAAATATTAAAATTTAATGTAACATTCAATGTCAAAAATCCGGGACTTGCTTTCTAAATAACTTTCCAAAGAGATAACTTATTCTTTTAATTCAGAAATGCATTTACCATTATGCATGTTTTATATGAATTGATTTGTCTCTCTTTGGCAGGCCTCCATGTTACTAGAGCTGGTGTGTCTCTCGTTCTTTATCTACCGTTTTACTCACTGCGCCTACTTCAGCCAGAGAAGTGTGTTTTGGAGGGACACCAAAAATATCCTCATCCTTGTAGTCATTGTGGTAAGTCTCCAAAAAATTAATCATCATTACTTATTATAAACTTAAGGAGCAAAGTGGACCTAAAACCCTTGAATATCAAAGAACGATGCAGTTTATACTGTATACAGGGTAATTTTTAGTACATGTAATGTCATTTTTGCCCTTTCACACTTTCAAACAATTTTGCCCCGTTTTAAATTTTCCAAGACCATTTTTTTTTTTTAGAAATAATACTGTGTTCTTTGAATTTGCTCCATTTTAGATTAATCCACATTGTTTAATGGGGCAAAAATAAAACGGTGGATATTTCCCTGAATTTATTGTATACACTTTGTACGAAAGATTTTATTTAAAATTGATTATGCCTTACATTCGTTTTCACTAGGTTTCTTTCTTGGACAATCCTTATTTTGTTCAAGATCTTGAATATTCATAGACAAGTGCTCTCACAATATTGAATGAGTAGTTTTGGAAGAAAAAACTCTGATACCATGACAACAGGATTGTTTATGAATTTAAAGTTTATATAATTATATATAGAAATGTTGATAATCATTAATGACATGAGATCTTCCCATTTCAATTAAGCCTGCACTGAGGAGAGGTAGGTGTTACACGTGTTGTAAGATCTTTTTGTGAAGCTTTTTTGCTATTTTTTCTAACAGTTGACTTGAACAAGTTATCAACTTTCTACTTTCTGCACAAACTGTTAGTAATTTCTATAGCCTGACTTTTGTTTTTTAACTCTAAGCACAGGTTTTGACTAATTCATCAGTTTGAATGCTTTTGTTTGTGTGGAGTCTTTATACTTTTTAGATTGACGACATTGATATTAAAGGTTGAAAAAACTGCAACAAAATTGAATTGCCTTTCCATTTAAAAGCTATAAGCTGTTCACTTCAGTCATTGAAAAATAATGATAGTAAAATTGTTTGCTTTAAATATCTAGCAAATTTTCTTACACAAAAAAGATAATTTTATTTAATCACTAATTAGTTTTAATAAATTTCTTTTTACACTCTGTATTACATGTTATCTCATAAGCAGACTTAATTTCTATTTTAGCTAGTAATATATAGTGCTATTCATAATTTTAACATGTTTAATGCTCTCGACATTCATCAATCATAATTCCTGAATGAGATGATATGAATATTTTTAAGGAATATAGGCAGATATATATTTATTAGTTACATACATGTATATTAGTAGCATTTAGAAATGATTTTTTAAATACTGCATGACTAGGACATACAATCAGTTTATATATACCCAACTGAATAATAGCACATACAATTTATTTACACGATCAGATGTAAGGATATATAATAGTGGGAAAATCTCATCCGATATATTTTATTTGTAACAATAGCTCGTTTTTTACAACTGAAGTTCAACTGAATGTGTGCCATTGATTAAAATGATTTTTTTTTATTCTGCTTCTGTTTTTGATATGTACATGTCATATTGATTTTGAATTGTTCACAATCATGTACATATTCTTTAGTTTTTCTACATGTAGAGTCTTTCTTTTTGATGTGTTGTAATCGCCAAATCAGTTTTATTTAGAAAGAATGCTACTTTGGTCATGAAGGTGCATTTTGTTAAATGTACATGAGTACATAACAACCTCATTGATATTCACTGGTTTCATTGTGAGATTTGTAAATTACGGTGCTGAAATTTGCCAGAAAAGTACTTTAAAATCATGTAAACAGATCGATATTAGGGAACATTATAATTATTATTGACAAAGTCATACAACTGAATCATTTATCATTCCTGTATTGTGAGGTAAATGCATGAATATATTAAAGCAGATATAAAGTTTCAACAGCATTTCAAAGTTCCATTTCAATAGTGAAAACCAAGTTTTTATGATATGATTTCAAATATTCAAATAATGTTACTAATTCCACCCTACTTTTGATTGACAACACTATCTTTTATTATAATAGAAATGATAATTAAATGGTTTGACTAATTCCCAGGTATATTTGATTGACAGCTTAATTTTATTGATATAATATTTATATGCCTTCACTTATTCCCGCCTACTTTTGATTGACAGCTAACTTTTATTGATATGCTGTGCTTTTTAATCTGGGACAACGTGAAGACGTCCTCTCGACCAATCAGATGGTCTCGGCCACTACGGCCCCTATTCCTCATCAACTTCCCCGACGGAAAACAGGTAATTATAAAAGTTAAAATAAATAAACGGAAAATGAATTGAATAAAATATATTTATCAAAATAAACTTAATTTATTGTGAGAATAAAGTATTTGTTTGTGCCTCATGAATCTGCTTCAGGTACATGGTTTTTTTTCCTTTTTAGATCCGTCGAGCCTTTCGAAACATCCGTCGGACGGTCCCAGAAATTATGAATGTCCTGGTTTTATTTCTTCTCAGTGTCCTGTTGTTTGGGTTACTGGCATTAAAACTTTTCAGTAGGAGGTGAGGCTGGTTTATGTGGTAATATGTTTTTCTATCTTTAAAATAAAGAAATCTCTTTTAGGGAAACACAAGGAGAAGCTATTTCAAAGTTTTTCCGTCATAATCTCTCTTTCAGTTTTTTTTTCTCTTTATTTAAATGTTTTTATTTTTTCTGATTTTAATGTTTAAATCATTTACATGTAAAATCTGTGTAAATCTTCATCTATTGAATTAATCAAGATTGCCTTTTTAGAATTGAGCTAATACAAATATCATGATTTTAGGGACCTTGTATATGCCAATGGTAAGCCCTATTTCAAGAATTACCTGGACAGTATATGGGACCTCTATGTTTTAGTCACCACGGCAAACAGTCCTGATGTCATGTAGGTACTCCTAGCATCATTACTAAATTCGAAATTAATTTAAATTCAATTAAAAGATTAAAAATTAAAATTTACCATTATCTTCTATAATCTGATGAATGGTTGATATCAATTCTTTAAATGATGAATCGAAGCTTGTGGACTCAAACCCATTGTTACACAGTAACTATGATACGAAAATTATAATTTATAATTGGTTTGTTGATTTTTAGCTCTACTGGTCAGAGACCAGAAGAGCTTATGCGATAGTAATGCGTCCGGCGTCCGTCCGTCTGTCTGTCTGTCTGTAAACAATTTTTCAAAATGCTACTCCTCCTACAGTTTTGATCTGATTTCAATATAACTTGGCATATAAGTAGATTACACTAAGATACATAATTCTGTGTATCGGTTTTTGATTTCGACGAACGGTGTTGGTGTTGTTACTAAAAATAGAAATTTCTGTGAAATTCTTTCAAAATGCTACTCCTCCTACAGTTTTGGTCTGACTTCAATATAACTTGGCACATGAGTAGACTACACTAAGATACATAATTCTATGTATCGGTTTTTGATTTCAACAAACGATGTTGGCGTTGTTACTAAAAATAGAAATTTCTGTGAAATTCTTTCAAAATGCTACTCCTCCTACAGTTTTGGTATGATTTCAATATAACTTGGCATACAAATAGACTACACTAAGTTACACAATTCTGTATATCGGTTTTTGATTTCGACGAACGATGTTGGCGTTGTTACTAAAAATAGAAATTTCTGTGAAATTCTTTCAAAATGCTACTCCTCCTACAGTTTTGGTCTGACTTCAATATAACTTGGCACACAAGTAGACTACACTAAGATACATAATTCTGTGTATCGGTTTTTGATTTCAACGAATGGTGTTGGCATTGTTACTAAAGATAGAAATTTCTGTGAAATTCTTTCAAAATGCTACTCCTCCTACAAATTTAGTCTGATTTCAATATAACTTGGCACACAAGTAGACTACACTAAGATACATAATTCTGTATATCGGTTTTTGATTTCGACGAACGGTGTTGGCGTTGTTACCAAAAATAGAAATTTCTGTGAAATTCTTTCAAAATGCCCTTCCTCCTACAGTTTTGGTATGATTTCAATATAACTTGGCACTCAAGTAGACTACACTAAGGTACATAATTCTTTATATCCGTTTTTGACTTCATTGAACATTATTACCTTGGTTAATAAAGATAGCAATTTCTGTTACTCTCAAATTTGCTACTTCAAATACAGTTTTAGTCTGATTATAATATAATGTGGCTTGCAAGTAAACTACACTAAGAACATAAAGAGATTTATTCAAGGATCATTATTCTCTTTTTTGTCTGTGCAAATTTTCAATTCTCAACTGCTTAAGTACTTTCCTCTTCCTTTGCTATAAGTACAAACCAGTAGAGCTTCAGTCTCGACAGAGACTTCTGGTTTAATTATTATTTTAAGGAGGCTGGGGGGTCAACAAATTAATCATAAATTAACCACCAGATTTAACTTATTTTTAGCTCTACTGGTCAGAGACCAGAAGAGCTTATACGATAGTAATGCGTCCGTCGTCCGTCCGTCTGTCTAGCTGTCTGTCTGTCTGTCCGTCTGTCTGTCTACCTGTCTGTAAACAATTTTTCAAAATGCTACTCCTCCTACAGTTTTGGTCTGATTTCAATATAACTTGGCACACAAGTAGACTACACTAAGATACATAATTCTGTATATCGGTTTTTGATTTCGATGAACGATGTTGCCGTGGTTACTAAAAATAGAAATTTCTGTGAAATTCTTTCAAAATGCTACTCCTACTACAGTTTTAGTCTGATTTCAATGTAACTTGGCACACAAGTAGACTACACTAAGATACATAATTCTATATATCGGTTTTTGATTTCGATGAACGGTGTTGCCGTGGTTACTAAAAATAGAAATTTCTGTGAAATTCTTTCAAAATGATACTCCCCCTACAGTTTAAGTCTGATTTCAATATAACTTGGCACACAAGTAGACTACACTAAGATACATAATTCTGTTTATCGGTTTTTGATTTTGATGAACGGTGTTGCCGTGGTTACTAAAAATAGAAATTTCTGTGAAATTCTTTCAAAATGCTACTCCTTCTACAGTTTTAGTCTGATTTCAGTATAACTTGGCACACAAGTAGACTACACTAAGATAAATAATTCTATATATCGGTTTTTGATTTCGGTGAACGGTGTTGCCGTGGTTACTAAAAATAGAAATTTCTGTGAAATTCTTTCAAAATGCTACTCCTTCTACAGTTTTAGTCTGATTTCAATATAACTTGGCACACAAGTAAACTACAATAAGATACATAATTCTGTGTATCGGTTTTTGATTTCGATGAACGGTGTTGGTTACTAAAGATAGAAATTTCTGTGAAATTCTTTCAAAATGCTACTCCAAATACAATTTTAGTCTGATTATAATATAAATGTGGCATGCAAGTAGACTGCACTAAGAACATAAAGAGACTTATTCAAGGATCATTATTCTATTTATTGCTGTTGAAAAGTTTCAATTTCCAACTGCTTAAGTACTTTTCTCTTCCTTGGCTATAAGTACAAACCAGTAGAGCTTCAGTCTCAACAGAGACTTCTGGTTTTACATATGGTATCTTAAGCTGTCAACTATCATTTGACAAAGAAAAAATTCATATATTTTAGTTTTAAAATTTGATCATTTTTTATATCTTTATATGGAGCTCTACTTTTAAAGGAGATAAAAATAGTCTGAAAATGGCTGCCACACCCCAGCCTCGTTAAATTCAAATAAATTGTGACTTCTTTTTTATAAATACTTTATGATCCTTTTGATAGGGATTTCTAGGGAATATGTATGACTCTTTATATTTTAAGCAATGCTGATTTATCTCCCCTTTTGCAGTAGTAAATAGTTCTGAATCAATGAACCGAGTATTTTTCATTATCCCAGGTAAATGATTTTTTGGTTAATACAGGATTATCTCCCTTTACAGGATGCCGGCCTATGATAGCAGTAACTGGTTTGCTGTATTCTTCATTATGTACATTGTGATTTGTTGGTTAATACTGGATTATCTCCCTTTTACAGGATGCCAGCCTATGACAGAAGTAACTGGTTCGCTGTATTCTTCGTTATGTACATTGTGATTTGTTGGTTGATTTTTATGAGTATTGTGTTGGCGGCCATTTACTACAGCTACAGAAAGAACCTAAAGGTTGGTGGATTGTTAGTTAGGTCCCTCACTGGGTCAAATGTATCAACCATTTAGTATTTAAAGAAATGTACAAGATGTAATGCATCATATTTTAAACAGTATTCCGATCTTCATCCTTTGAAGTGACAACTAGAAATTGTACAATAAGAAGGATTTGTCAACACTAAGGATCATAAATTTCATTTAATTTATACAAATCAAAGTAATATTTGTCATTAAAGAAATGTGATTATTCTTACTTTTTCAGCTATTCTTGTCCTAATATGAGAAATTAAATAAATGTAAATAAACATATTATTTTTTTGTCAGAATTTAGTCAGATGAAAAATGAAAATGATTGTATTTTTTTCAGAATGAAATTAAAGCTGCTGTTTATGGGAAGAGAAAGAAGCTTGGTCAGGCGTTTGACATCCTGAAAGTTCAGACCGGGGGCCGCGTGGTGGTGACCTACACCGTGTGGTGCGAGTTAATGAAGCGTGTCATCCCTGACCGGAGCAGGAGCCACATTGACCTACTCATCAGGGTGCTGGACATTGATGGATCAAACATGATTCGTGAGCACATACTCAAAGCATTTTGATTAAATACTGTTAATGTGGCTATAGGCAACCATTTCTTGTTATACCTGTTCATTTAACTTGTTTAAATCTGTAACTTTCAAACACCAACGGATGCAAATAAGATTTAAAATTTAGTAAGCAGAAGGACCTTGTCCCTTATATTTGTTAACCAAGGTTGATTTTCACCATTGCAGGTAAGCAGCAGTTCCTGAAACTGGCCGACCTTTTAGAACTCCAGCTGTCAGAGGTCAAGGACAGACTGACCTTCCTGGAGCATACGTTTCCCGGCATATACAACTCCTACATCAGTGGACTCCTCAAACGGGTGGTCAGACACAAGTAAGTGTCAAACTTTAACCATTAGAATTTTTAAAAAGTTTTTACTTCAGCAGAATAGCAGTATTATATTTTTACATGTATATCATCTCTCAATTGTCAGGTTTTAATGGCCATAAACCTTGAAAATGATGAACAAGACCTAAAAGTGTTCTTTCAACATTTATTAAAACATGCAGTTTTAGAGTCTGTTTTTAATATCAATGGTCTTCTGAGTTCTCCTTTATTTATAATTTCAGAGCCTTTTGGTACTTCTTTGACTTGATGATATTTTTCAATGCCTAGTTTTCTATTTCAGAGCCTTTCGGTACTTCTTTGACTTTATGATCTTTGTCAATGCCTGGTTTATTGGTTTTGATGTAGACGAGGCAGATTGGTTCTTCCTGGGGATATTCATGCTGGAAATCGTATTAAAACTGTACACATTTGGACCTCGAGAGTTCTTCAAAGTCTTCTGGAATGTGTGAGTCAGCTCTTTTAATGTTCTTCAATAATAATATTTTTTTTTCAGATCTGATTTAATTTCTACATTTTGACAATATGAAAGAAAACTAAGTAATATGTATGTAGCATGATGTATATGCAATATCTGACTTACAAGTATGCATACTTGAGTTGACTTTTGAAGACAACTTTTGTTTTGTTCTTAATTATATATACATGTACAAGTAAATCCTGGTGAGAGTTAAAAGTCATAGATCATCCTTCATATTATATTCTTTAAAAAATATCACTTTCTATATTGCAGATTTGACTTCATAGTAATCGGGGCAGCAGTCATTGCCTCAGCTATTGAAGCCATTGAAGATTCCAGTAAGTCAATGATGTTCTATACTGTAGATCACTAAATTTTCGTGACACCTTATTTTTCGCGAGATAGTCATTGACTCTTGATTAGCGAGAAAAATTTTCACGAATTGTGGTAATTGCTCTGTGTAATCTTAAGGAATACGAGAAAATAAAGTTCTCGCGAATAAAAAGTGATTTACAGTATTTAAATTGGTCTGGCTCTAATTCCTATACATTAAAGATCATTAAGTAACTTGAAGACCAAAAAACTGATAGAAGCAAGTCACATCCTGCACGGAAATACTTACCTATGCGTAGCAGATCTTAAAATTTTATTTTGTTTATTTTTTTACACCAATTTTGTACCAGTTAATAGACTTTTGAGCTTGATTGTTGTTTCTTAATTTTTTTTCTTTCATTTCCAGTGATTCTTAAAATGACAGAATATGTCTGATATACATGTATTAATTTATTTATATTTCTAGCTTATGAGGAGTTCCAGCTTCTAGATTATCTCCTTGTATTAAGAGTTCTGAGGCTTTTTAAAATATTTGGAAGTATTAAACGGTAAGTTTTTTTGGTATAATATTTCTTCATTAATTCTTTTACAAATTGTACATTCTTTTTTCCCAATAGAATTTTTAAGCATTTTGATGTGAAAGTTTACTTTCTCTTTTGCTTGTTGTATTTTTTTTTATAGATATACAGGTATAATTGTACTTCAGGTACATCTAATAATAATAATAATATGTACATTTATATTTACATTTATATTCCATATTTTTCCCGTTTTCTTTCAGCTTTAAAGTGATCCTTCAAACAATCATCAACATAGGGCCATCTATTATTACTTATGGGGGAGTCATTGTGGTAAGTTAATAATATTTGGGAGGAATTTAAAGGATTTTAAGTTGGCAGCACAGTTAAGGTTAACCGTTACAAATGGAAATATTGGTGATTTTTTAAGATGAAAAATACATACTTATAATAGTTATGGGCTTTTTATATTTTCTCATATTCTTTTTAGGACTTCACTGATTTAAAAAAAAAATGTAATATGGTTCAAATCTACATGTTGAGGAAAATTAGATTTTTTTATTTAGACTTTTCACGTGATGTCTGAGTCACATGATTTTAGCAATTATACTTGCAGTTTAGAGGTCATCTATAAATTCCAATATTGCAAGGGCATAACCAAGTTAAAAACCTTAGTTTAATTTATAAATCTTTTTAACATTGTATGTAGTTTGTGAAAAATGCTGCAAACCTATACAGATTCCACCATTTTATTGCTAAAATTTAATTTTTAAGACGGCAGGTTGAATATTTAGCTGGTCAACTACATTAAATAAGCTATAATTATTTTATTTGTAAGAATTCATGAGGTTTGCAGCACTTTTCAAATATCTAAATGCTTCTTGAGTTTATGTGTAAAATCTTGGCAAGATACATTGAGGGTATGCCCTTGCAATAAATCGATTTAATAGGGCCCTTGTATTACTTTTTTTTATAAATCTGCATAGAAACACATGACAATATACAATATACGGACAGTATATAAATAAATAGTAAAATTAAATAGACATCGCATCCAAGTAAACGGCCTTTTCCAAAACCGCAAATAACATTTTTATTACAGAACAAAGGATAATTTTCATTGTACAGCCTCTCACTCAATCGGAACATCACTCGGCCTTTTCCGTCAAGTCGAGAACTTGACGGAAAAGGCCGAGTGATGTTCTAATTGCTATCCAGCAGTTTAAAATAGCAAATATTTTCATTTAAAATTTGTGGAATTTTGAATACCTTATATTTGTGTGATGTCATAGTAAACATTTCCCGTATAAATTAAGCACCGCCTCCTTACTGTGACCTTAACTGTACTGCGTTATAAACCTTTATTAGTATTTAGCATTTTCACTGATTGATTTTAAAGGCATATGCAATGAAGTTTGAACTTTATTGTGATACATGTATTCCCTGAAGAAGGGTTACAATAATTGAAAGGCCTGTGTGCTATTCTTTTAAAGTCAATATGGTGTTGGTCATCTCTTCTTAAATATGTTTTTATAAAACAACATCTAGAATACTGTAGAAGTACTTTTTTCCGCGTGGTATTAATTTACGCTATGTACGCGGTCACAAATTTTCCGCGAAAATTGTCCAAGCGTTCTTAATACAAATGTAAGGCATATAGTGACAGGCTAGGAAATCCGCGTAATTTTCTACACGCGGATTAAACAGAAATTGAGATTCCACGGAATTATGACCCCATGGAAAAATAGTACGTCTACAGTATATGTTTAGTAATTTTTCTGCATTTTTCTTTCAATAATGCAAGAATTTCATCATTTGATATCTTATCAAAAGTCCTGGTATTACATGCCAATTTTTTTCTAACAAGCTTAAACAGTTTAGAAATCATTCTGGCACACATATGCTCTCTTCTGAAGATTTAATAGTAAGTTACGGACATATTGTCAGCATCATACAACTAACAGATAATTTTATATCGATGTTCGACAGTGACAGCGTCTTTTGCCATTACAAATAGCAGTTTATCCGTATGTTTTGTACTACCCGTGGACTCGATCAAAAGAGACTTTGCAACGAAAACTCTTATTTCATTTTTATACTAAAGAACTGGTGATAATTTTTTTTACATATTTTTTTCTCCGGTATTAATTTAAAGTCTCTTAAGGTATCACTACAACATCTAAATCAGCCTGAACTGCACTCCGGTGCGCCGTCACATCATCAAACGTCGTCATTGTTCGTGTGTTCCCATTTTGAATGCTCGGAAAACTGCCAAAAATTAACCAAATGCCTTGGAATTTTTGAAAAGACGACAAAATAGATCGTGGAATCGAATAAGGATAATTTTCACCCCAATCTTATCTATTTTAAACGTTTCTTGTGTATTCTCTAATAAAACCTTGGGTTTCTGACCATGCGCCATAGGACCCTACCCTGTGCTCATTGAAGCATAATAAAATCTTTATTTTTTCTATACTTTAAAAAAAAATTATGATGCACTCAAATATGATAAAAAAATATCTACTGAAAATTTCATCTTAATGTGCTCATTATTTTTCGAGAAAAACGCCTTGTCCACGATTTTACCGGACAACCCTCGTAAATGAAATATAGCTTTTTGATATTAATTTTATAATTTTAAATATAAACATTTGTGGATCTCTCCATTATATGAACATACAGAGAACAAATATGTTCAATTCTGTATGAAGTTTGTCTGAGGTCAATACGTGACCTTATCACACGGCGCAATAAATCCAAATGACTTGTATGAATTTTTTCCAAAATATATCGATTAATTAAAAAATTAAATGCAAAAATCGGATCGCGGAGCAGGTCAAAATTTAGTACGTTACAGACAATACACTATATAATGTCTGTAGTCGTATTCTCTGTAAAATGGAGCAAAAACGAAAAACAACCTAAAAATTCAAATTAAGAATTGTCACATCGATTCGTATACCAAATAATGGCTTTATATTTTGCTTTGTTGAAAAGAAATCAACTTGAGAAGATAGGTAGTCCTTATTGAAAACGACAAAAACTATGACGTTTTAGGACGTAACGGAACAGCAGATAACGATGCAATTTGGTGTTTTACTCAGGAAAATCCCTGAATAAACTCTAAAAATGTTGGAGGAATCAAAAATATGTCACAAGTTCTGCATGTGTGTATAAATAGTACTAGCAGTATTTCAGTGACAGATACTCTGTATTGGATAAGAACAATCTGTGAAGCTACGATTTAACTGTAAAAATCTGAACAAACTTTAAAAAGTTGGAACGTCAGGGAAGACATGGGCGCTTCAGAGTTGCGTATCCTGTGAAAGCAGAGTTGAGTAAAAAGAGAAATTAAAACTTAAACAAAGAAAATAATACAACGAGAGCAATTCTTAAAAAATAAATGTCAAGTATTAGAACAAGGATTCATTTAGTGGGCTTTGGATTATATTGTTTGAAATGTATAGGGATAGTATATTTTTAAAATTCTTGACGCTGTGTTTTGACGTTACATTGCCGTTAAGTGTGCTCCGCGGGTTGATTTTAAAATGAAGTAAATTGATTTTTAAGCGGTTAGCTTCGCTAGCCGCTATATGGCATGTGTCGGCAACCGGAAACCTCCATAAGGCGCTACCTATCGGCATCGCTTTATCGCTCGTAACCTTATCCTTCTGCAACCAAAACCGGAAACTTCCACAAGGACCTACCTATCGACAACGGTAACTTCAGCAAATGATTTGTATACTGTCGGCGTAATACGCCCCCTGGTTAGAGATTGACAATATGCTGTGAAGTCTGACTAAAGCCAGCCCCTACTATATCACTTCGTACTAACGAAGTATATGCTGTGTATGAAGAGTGGCTATTATAACGATTATATCGAATTCTTATTAGTATATTTACCAAAGCATTGACAATACTTACTACACTTACTTTTAAGAACTGAGAATTTGGTCCTTATTACATGTGTATCGCGCGATCGCGATTTCTGGCAACTGTTAGTTTATTTTTGAAAGTTTATTAAACAGCAGGTTGGAGGTTATTACAGACTGCAAAAACATCAGCAAATCTCTCGATCGAGTTTGATTTTCCTCGCCAAAGTATTAAGAAACACCATTTATTAAGTTAATACCTGAAAAGCGCTTTTATAAAAAACACCGAACGCATCTGTAAGTTTTACACTTTTTGTAACGTTTTATGGAAACAATAGGGTTACCTCCACTATGAAACGTTTGTTTTTCTTCTCTTTTCTTCTCTGTCTAAAAAACAGATTATAAAAGCTTTGCTCCCAGGGATAAATTCACTACTCCGTCTTTGATAATTTATCTAATCGATCATAAGGGATTACTTACTATTAGTTTTGTAAAAAATAATGGAGCACTTAAAGTAGTAAAATCAATTTTGAAAAAAAAATGGAGAAATATATTTTAATTTTAATCAGCATTGTGATCCTCTTCTAAAAATCAACCGATATTATTTTCACAGAAGAATGAGGTATGAAAAATTTTGGCAATTAGCAAAAATTCAAAATATATACTTAATGCTTATTTATAAGTTTTAAAAATTTGATCAATTCCTAGGGAACGTATTATTAGCTGTGAAAATACTTTTAAAATTTGAATTTGTCCAATTTGTCGATTATTGTTTTAAACGTTTGAGAAGAATAAAATTAAAATACAGGTGTTTAGAGGCACATTGATAGAAAAGAAATCAGTGTATATTGTTTAACCGACTTGTGACACGATAGCGGTGTTTTTCTTTGAAGTTTACTGTTCTGTATTAGCAATACAGTACAGGAGTCTAGTGGGCGGAGCTATCTTCTGTACTGTATTAGCCTACCAACCGTTCTGTAACTGAAATACAGAACGATTAAAAATAAACTAAGAAAGTCAATTTAAAGCATTCAGTATTTTAATTGGTCAATTGTTTTCAAAATAAAATAAATCGATTTTTTTCCTGTTTGGAATCATACAAAATTATTTCCTTAAAAAACTAGTAAAATTTTCGCTCTTATGTAATCAATATAATAATTATTCCAATCACTTTTATCCAAACGAAACGTATTAAAAAATTAAAACACACATTCCAATACAGTGAACAAAACTTCTCTCTGGACTTTTTTTTAACTTTCAATGCAATACCACACGCACTAAATCACGCAGTCATTTAATTTGATCCAAATGAAAAGTTGAAATGGCAATTTTGGAACACAGATGCCGTGTTTGTTAAATCCCGCAGAGCACGATTACTTTCACTGCACAATTTTTTTGCGTCACCTTCGACACGATTTGTAAATACATGGAGACAGCGCTCTTTTACCCCCAGTAGTCTGTTCGGAAGACGGTTCCTGCGATTCCTGTTTCATAGGTGGATACAAGATCTTAGGTCAAATGCTTTTCTTCATTTCCACGTTGCTTTTCATGTATTTTCTTACTCCTTGTTCTGACCTATGACCAGTAACATTCATGATTTCTGCCTCGGGTACACCTCCTATATACAGCTGAGTAGCGCAGGTTTTCTTCCCGCTGTGATTCGTATAATTCCCTTCCAGTCCTCCTTTTTTCGAAATTGACTTCATGAAAGTTTTGAGTTTGTTTATTCCTACGACTTGTGTCCCGTAACGCACAGGCTTTTCCGAGGTTCCGGGAAGCGGACGCCTATAAAATGGCCCCGCGCCATCTAGCGCATCAAGATAGATCTGGAAATACTCTGCTAAGCACCGATCACCTGTAAAATAATTAATTATGTGTAATTTGATTATCACCGCTAACATCTACATGGTAGTCTTTTAAAATATAAATTCTAGTAAATATTTTCCATCTTCTAAATGCTACTTTCATACATAAATATTTACTTCAAATATTAGGCTTACACAGCAATGCCCCCCCCCCCCCCCCCCATTCCGCTAACCTAAATTATAGTGTCTCAAGGTAACATTATATAAAATATATGAATTTTACTTACCAGGCTCACAGTAATGCTTCAGGTTCTTTGTCTGTAAATTCATCTGCCCCAATCCGCCCTTGTAGGTTTTTGGTGCTTCCCAACAAATTGAATAAACTGTCCATGGATATCGTTTCCGATGGAAAATTGTTCGCATTGCAATTTGTGATGCTCATCACAGGCCCTCAAACCGAACAATTTACATGAATAAAAAAACATCGTGTGTTGTAATTGTTCACTGTTTTCTTTCCCAAAAACATTTTCTTGCCACAATTTCTCCTCATCTTCGGGCCATATGGGGTCAGCTTGCCGGAAAATTTCGGCAAGTCCAGGCCTCTATCAACGAGTGATTTCATCTTTGCGTCTAAAACTTTTCTTAGTCCGACAAAAGCTATGTCTTTCTCGTCTAGAAAATTTTTATCGTAGACACCTTTTTGTCTTAAATGCCTCAAAAGTCCATATAAAATGAGATACAGCGTTTTTGGAGGGTATTCACACCCGTTTTTTTCATCGCTTCCACAATAAAACGCTCTAGCCAATGGTTCATCGATTTCGTATCCATTAAATGAAGCTCGATAATGTCCCCCGCTCTCTGCTCGCGCAAACTTTCGAAAACTTTAACGGCCCATTTTGTATTACTTTTAGTATTTTTGTTTTCCTGATTTTCAACGAGGCATTTCAATTCATCATCATTGACGACCGGTCCAAACCTGGTGCTCTCTTTCAGTTCTTTCTTAACTTCACATTCGGTTTCCATTAAAGAAGATAAATCCCCGATATCGAACTCCATTACATTTGAACCACTTTCTCCAAGGCCTTCATTTTCATCGAAATTTAAGTTTTCAGAAAAACTTAGATTTTGGATGCCTTTTTACACATGGTATTCCGTTTCCATATCTGCACAGATCTATATATATATAGTAATATCGTCAACTTCATCAATTAAAAAATCAAGCGTTTTTTCACAATTTTCTAAGCCTTCGTCCATCTTGCTACTCGTCCTTTCCAAAACTAATGTGACAAAATGTAGAAATTTCTAGAAATCTCACGCTGTCTACAGATAGTGAAATCGACATCGAACCCTAATTGGCATGGGAATTCATTTTTTAAAGATTTACCAGAGATTCAGAAAGAAATGAAATATACATCAACATCTTGTTGACATAGTGGGTGGAGTTAATTTTGATTGAGCTGATTTTGATTGGATCGTGTCACAAATCATTTAGAGAAACTCGACAGGTTCTGTATAACGTAGATACAAATTTGGGGGCAAGTACTCGTGCTTTCGCACTCGTCTTCCCCCAAATTTGTATCTACGCATACTCGGAACCTGTCTCGTTCTCTAAATAATACATATTGAAGAAAGTGACACTGATAACTTCTTAAGTTACACTGATTTTTAATGTACATTTGAATTTTTAAATACTAGTATTGATTGATTACACAACTTTCCTTTTCATGTTTTATTTGAGAACAATATTGCATGAAGAGTATATGATAAAAACACCTTATATGTCCCTATCTAGATATTGTGCCTTATATTGTGCAAGACTTCTTTCAAATGATTCTCATATACCATTTACTTTATTCGAACATTTACTTGTTTGAAAAGTCAATAAAATATATTTCATAAAGCTTGATAATCTTGTTTACTCGCCAGTCTTCCCGTAGAAGTAGTAGTTTATAATATTACTAAAGGAAGTATTCAGTATCTGTATCAAAATACAGAATGATCAATGATCGATTTTAGAAGAAAAGCTGACTCCTGAAAGTTCAAGAGGTGGGATCTGTTGCCTAGAAAAAGTAAGCATCCCTCGTTGACAGGTTAATTATATTGCCGCGGTGAGCCTACACAACTGAATCTCTCTGATATCAATTCATTTACAAAGTCTCTCCTCAGCCATCCTTTTTTCTCTGACTAGCCAGCTGTAGATCTACACTACTCCAAATCCATTAATCTAAAGAATTTAACTTGTCATTCTTTAGTTGTTTGTTATAGTAGTCTTTACAATTACCTAATTTCAGATTCAATAGAGAATAAAAGACAATGAAATTTTCAACATCAACATAATTTTTTTTTTATCCAGAGAACAATTGGATGCCATCAAGAGAGAATTTTTTAAAAATGCACTTCCTGTCTTTCAAACTGAAGAAATCTCATGTTTAAATTTTGAAACATGCATTTCAATCTTATTAAAATTTATTTAAATGTTCCAAATCCGCTACCGCTTCTGAAACTAACATCCCATTTGGGGTCACATCAGAGTGACCTTTCAATAATGAATACATGTACAAGTAAACACAAACACTTTGGCCATGTAGATTCAAGCCTCGGTAAACAGTTCTCAAATTAATTCCACGGCTACATATCATCATTATTGATACTGTCTTACGTTGAATTAAAGTAATTTTGGAATAAATTTCATGTATCTTCTGCAGTCTGGCATCTAAACGTGAATAATGCAAACGAAAGAGCACAAACTATACAAGATACCCCACACGTCATACATAACACAACTTTTGCAATGCATATCTTTTTACTTCAAAACTCCTCGGGTGTTTTGGTTGGGTGGTGAAAACAAGAAACCCATCTGAACTATTAGCTATTAGCCAGGATCGGAGGAACCATTTTCTTTGCCTAATCGAAGATTCACTCTTACATGACCCCAAATAGGATGTTGTTAGATGTTTGAGAAGCAGTAGCGGATTCGGAACATCTAATTTTAATTAGATTGCATCCATCTGTGACATCAGTTTGGAATGTTATTGATTTTACTATTGAGTAAAGTATTACAAAAACAGAATGTCTGGGTTTTTCTTCTCTGATGACATTGGACAAAGATATGCATACTTAAATATCATCATTTTATGCACTTTTTCGGTACATATTAGATGAAAACATGCTAACCGCTTTTCAGTACTTTCAGTACTTTGATTGTTAAATTGAATGGTATGAAACTTCACACATCAACAAAACAAATATTTTTGCATATTATATTGTGCTTAGTTTAAATTTCTAGTGAGAAATATAACGAAGATTGACATCGTCCACGAACTTTTCGAACAACTCTCGTATAAAGCATATTTAATCTATGTGTTCATACATTCAGCTATGGACGTACATGTGAATTTTTTTATGCACTTATCCTTACAACTTAATGTCTTTTTGCACAGACAAAACATAAAATCTTATGATAGTTTGTTCAGGTGTATATCTGATAAATGTGATTTTTATATTTTAAAAGAAATTTTCAACAGCTAATCTGTTTTTTGAAACTGTTTATAAAAAGTCAAAAGATTTGCCAACCAGAAAAGCTTGATCGCATAAGAACATTGCTGACAATATTTGTCTTTCCATAAATATGGTCAGTCCGAATAAACACTACGTCGTTCCTTTTCAGTTGTAAAACCATTGTCGCGGAGGTAGTCCCTATTTCAAGATTTGTTAATTCAGTGCTGATGGCTGTTATGATTTTTGAGTTATGCATCAACTCAAAGTGTCCGTTTATTTTCTCACTGTTCATTGTCCAAGAAAAAGCGAAGATTCCGTTGGAGGGTGCATGAAAGATGCCAGTGTGTCTGTTGTAAGCGTTGCCTTAATCATAAAGATGCAAATCAGCAAATTTCTAATCAAATGCTTATCGTAATGAAAATAAACATGTATTATATATATACTTATCATTTTTATTCTGTTTTCCCACAATAAATGAATACCTGTATTTGTGATCACATGGTCAAAAACGATAGTTTGAGTGCGTCCAGTATTTGGTAAATCCTTGCTTAAAATACTGGAAAACGCACACATATAAGAATTTCCTACAATATGACAATTGATAAGTATTAATAATGAGCTGATTAAAATAAAATATTAAATATATCAATGGGAGAGCATTGAAACCTAGCAGAATGAGAAAATCAAGGACACAAGCAGCATATTTAGAGTTTCAATATAATGGAAGGTTTTCTTTGCGATTTTATAAATCATGACAATGCTGTACATTTCTTCTTAATAAAATTTTACGGACAACTAGCTTACATTACATTTGTTTTATTTTTCTTTAAAAACAATGGTTTTCATTTGACATCTGTTCTAAACTCCTGGTTATGTATGATGATATTTTGTTTGGAACACCTGATGACAGATTAATTTAATTCTGAATTGAGAATATCTTTGAAAGTTATCACTAGAAAGGTACATTTTCAAGAACATTATTCATGTACCTTGCGCATGTTGCGTATGACCTGAAACATTCATTTAAAATTGTCCCAAAAAGGTTATCAATATTTCGGTATCCCAGAAAAGGTAATCCTTATGACAATGCAACAAAAACATGTACCTTAAACGTATAAGATAAAATATGGGGTCCTGCAATTGACATGCCTTGGATGTCAAAAGATTCTAGCATCCTTCTCGCGCACAAATTCCTCTTTAAATACACTCATCTTTTTATCTCCTTTTATAAAGGTAAAAAAAGACTTTTTTTCAAAAAAAAAAATTTCACCACGTTTTTGTGGAATTGAACCATAAGGATTAACGCCTTACTTCGCAACTCTAAATCAAACGCTCTAACTACTGTACATGTATCACAAGGGTCATCCCATTGATTTTGAAAAATCAATAGGCATTTTAATGGCAAACTTACGTTTTATTTGTTGGAGACCTGTAGTCCTTTTTACCCTTTTATTAAGGTTTGCTTTAATCAATGTTTCGCCCATTAATACTTTTCCATGAGTAATTTTTCTTTCCTTTTCACAAGCACAATTCTGTTGGATCATTTTCTCCAGGTGTAAGATTCGCTCTTCCAGTGATTTTATCCTTAGTCCTTGATATGATTGCACACATAAGCTCAAGGTAGAAATTACGAAAAAGAAAGAAAAATGCATGTCAGATTTGTGAGTCTTAAAACCTGTCATCATTCCTACCTCTAACACAGTATAATGACAAAATTCTTTTTTCCTTGGGCTGAGAGTTTTACACCTGTGACAAGCTGTAGGATTTCAGTTACAAGTTTGAATTACATTTTAATTGAATACATCTACAAAACATTGCTATACACTATATTTTGTAACCCATTTCTAAAAATAAATTCAGGGTAAACTTTTGAAATTATCTTCCAACCCTTAAAACCGTTCACGGTAGCTCAGTCGGTAGAGCGCTCGCTCCGTGATCGGGAGGTCGTGAGTTCGTATGGCACGATAAAGATCCCTCACTGCTTAATGGCCCTGAGTGCCGTGTAAAGGTCAAAATTTGAAGCCCTTCACCGGCATACGGTGACGTCTCCATATGAGGGAAAAATTCTCGAGAGGGACGTTAAACAATATACAATCAATCAATCAATCCAACCCTGAAAGATGATCTTTAATGAAAATGTAACGTAAAATCATGTTGAATGTTGAACAAATCGTAACAAAAACAAGCTTATTAAGGGACTCCGACCCTCAGCCAGGAAGGACAACTCTTTAATTTATAATTTAATTCAAAAATTTTAAAGGAGCTTAAAATTAAATCTTTTCATGCAACAATTTTCATTATATGCCTCTCAGTGTGCTTCAAGGTTCTTTAAACTTCTCAGAGAGGTCTAATTAAAAGTAGAAATTTTTATCCCGAAAAGCATTTTTAGATAGCAATGTTTATTAACATGATATGAAATTAGAAGTAATTTTATATGGAGCTTTGCAAAGAACCTTTAAGCAAATTGAGAGGCATATAATAAAAATTGTTGCACAAACTATATTTTTTAAGGTTAATTTTAAAGAATTTTTGAATTAAATTATAAATTAAATATGTCCTTCCAACCCGATGTTACTTAAAGAATCTGTTCCCACTCTTGACGAAGAAATTATTTGCAAAATCAAGCTTATTAAGAGAATCTGTGTCCCACTCTTAAGGAAAAAAGAAGAGTATTTGCGGATCTGGGGAATGGGGGATGTCGAGGCATGGGGAGAGACACTTGAAGAAGGTCGGGTGGTGCCGTAGGGAGTTATGATGCTTGCTGTGGTTTTCAACTCGACATTTAGATACATGTACATCGACGACGCATTGTCAATTAACAATAGTAATTTCTTTTTTTATGTCGATACGATACATCCTCCAGGTGAGCTTGAGATAAAAGCTACCAATGAGTTTGACACATTTGTTTCATATTTGGTTATTTTACTTGAAAAAGACGTTAGTGATAATCTAATAACCAAGCTCTATGATAAACGTGAGGACTTTAACTTTTCTATCGTCAACTTCCCTTACTTATGCAGCACCTGCAGACGGGATTTATATATCCCAGCTGATTCAATACGCAAGAGCATGCTGTAGGTATTGACAATTTCTAAAAGGAGGTAAATCATTCACAAACAAGTTAATTTAAGAAGAAAATCAGCAATTTGTTTAAAGTCATTATTTTGTAAGGTCTGTGTTCGATAAAATGAGCTTGTCAGCAAATACAATTTATCTGTGAGTCAAATGCTGACTGACGTTTTTCATACTAATTGTTAGTCTTGTACACTGAATTGACGACAGATTTTTCCATTATATCCCAATCATGACAAGAAACACACAGCGGATGTAACCGGTCGGCAGGGGATGCTTACTCCTCCATTCCGCCTGATCCCACCTCCGATTTATTGGAGGTCCATGTTTGCTTTGCTCCTATTTTGTACTGTTAAAAGGACTTTTGATCTCCATATATTTCATTGCGAAAACTCAAAAGCTTTTTGAGATTTCGGCCAGTAATAAAAATTCTTAGACAGAATGTATGAATAATCGACCTTGACTTTTGATCTCAAAATCCATAGGGATCTTTTTTAGGCCATGGGAAGCTCTTCCACTAAAAATCAGTTGTTAAAATTGTTTTACAGACATACGTGAAATACTTCTGATAATTTCATTAACAATAGTTTTTTGGTAAAAATTTGATTTATTTAACAAAATATCTTGAAAAGTTGTCAGTAGGTAAGTTCCATATGAACTTTAAATATTTTTTTTTGTATTATTAAATTTAAAGTTTGTTTTGCAACATACATGTACCTGTATTTATGTGTTGTATTCAATATCTAACTCTAAGCCCTTGAGGTGACATCTTAATACTGTTTTTGTGTATAACAATGATGTTTTATACATAGCACTGATTTGAAGATTCTTTTCATAAATGTAGGAGTGTTGTACTGCATTTTAAAGAGTTTTACTTCTTGACACTTTTGGGTTTTTTTTCTAGATTTTGAAATATTCCACCACAGGTTCAAAATTTACACGATGAAATTTTTAAGTCGTACTGATTTTCAAGCCAGCAGTTGTTTCTCTACCTAATGTTTTTTACTACATTGTCTGGTTTTTGCCTGCATTTTCAGGTATTTTACTACAATATTATGTGTTTAACTATATTTTGAGGTGTTTAATCACATTCTTAGGTGTTTTACTACAATTTTAGATGTATGTAATCTGTACCTTGATCTCCAATGGAAGAAACTAATATATACCGTGGTTGTTTAATATATTTTGTAATTTTCTGTTTTTTGAATAAAATACTTCTTAAACTAAACTAAACTAAAACTAAACTAAACTAATTTTAGATGTTTTAATACATTTTAAGGTGTTTTACTATATTTGTAGGTGTTTTACTATATTATTTTGTGTATTGCTACATTATCCAGTTGGTTTACTATATTTTCAGGTGACTTACTACATTTAAAGATGTTCTATTACATTTTTAGGTGTTGGTCTACATTTTTTCTATTTCCAGGCATTTTACTACATTTCCAGGTCTTTTTATGTATTTCTGATTGGTTTGCTATATTTTCAGATGTTTTACTATAATATTTTAAGGTATTTTCAAGTGTTTTACACAGGTGTTTTACTATTTTTTGACATTTTTCTATATATTTTCAGGTATTTTATATCGTTTCAGGAAATATTTTCAGGTCCTATATTTTCAGGTGTTTTACTATATTTTCTGGTGTTTTACTATATTTTCTGGTGTTTTGCTACATTTTTGGACATTTTTCTATATATTTTCTGGTGTTTTGCTACATTTTTGGACATTTTTCTATATATTTTCAGGTGTTTTACTATATTTTCAGGTATTTTACTATATTTTCAGGTGTTTTACTATATTTACTATATTTTCAGGTGTTTTACTATATTTTCAGGTGTTTTACTATATTTTCAGGTGTTTTACTATATTTTCTGGTGTTTTGCTACATTTTTTGGACATTTTTCTATATATTTTCAGGTGTTTTACTATATTTTCAGGTGTTTTACTATATTTTCAGGTGTTTTAGTATATTTTCAGGTGTTTTACTATATTTTCAGGTGTTTTAGTATATTTTCAGGTGTTTTACTATATTTTCGGGTGTTTTACTATAATATTTTCAGGTGTTTTACTATATTTTCAGGTGTTTTACTATATATTTTCAGGTGTTTTACTATATTTTCAGGTGTTTTACTATATTTTCAGGTGTTTTACTATATTTTCGCCATTATTGGTATGGAGGTTTTCCAGAACCTTATCCATTACTATGATTACTACAATGAGACGTCGCAACCTTTCTGTGGGAATGCCAAACTGAACGGCACCCAGTTCTACACCTTCCACTACTGTAATAACAACTTTAATGATCTCCTACACTCTCTGGTTCTACTGGTGGAGCTCACTGTTGTTAATCAGTGGCATGATATCCTTTTTGTGTTTAAATTCAAGTTATTGCAATCAGCTTCACGTACTTGTCTCAGTATTATATGGAAGTAAATTTATTTTGTTGAATCAGATGTAAAGGTAAATAGATCATGTTTGATGGAAGATTGTCATTTAGTTTATATAAATGTACAGTGTATTTACATCCACTGAATGTAATTTCCTTTATTTCTTGATATGAGGACCGTTGCCATTAAGCAGCCCATAATCGACACTAAGCAAGCCTTCTGCATAGATTTCTTGAATCTTGCCGCTGGACCATGTTGATTATTATATCATACTGATGAGCCGTATGGCTTAAAGTTATTAAATAAAGAATTATATTAAATGGTTTTTATTTATATCCTCTAAAATGCAAAGTTAATAAATGATTTAATTGGTCATTTAGCAAAGAATTATTTCCTTAAGTGGTTCACTGTTAGCATCAGGATTTGTATCAGTGACCAGTAAAGTGGCTCGACTTTATTTCTTTTGTTTTCATATGTGTTGTGTCATCATCGTCCTTAAGTAAGTTTAATACAATTTTACATTTACATGAAGCAATTTATTTTTTAGAGTAATTCATTATATACATGTACAGTCCAGTCCAATACGAAAATTCGTAATATTACGAAAAAACGTAAGATTACGAGAAAGCGTAATATAACAAGTTATTGTAATATAAAACTTATATTACAATTTTTCGTAATGTAGTTAAATTTTTAATATAGCAGATTGTAAGAGACTATATTACGAGTTTTCCCAAGACAAATTCAAGCATTGCAAGAAATTGTTGGTGGGTAGCAAAGTATGACGTGAATTATATCAGATTCCACGGCTAAAAATCAGTTTGGTTAGTTACAACTATCAGAAAGCATGGAAATTCAAGAAGAAAGTTGGATTTCTTTTATTTCTTTTATAGGAATTTTCCCAAGGATAAGACCAATTTTCCAGGAAATTTCAATATTCGCTTAAGCATGTCGCATTGTCTATATAACCTGAACTTCCTACTTTTAAAGTCTACCCTAAAAATCACACCTTCATCTTAATTCAACTGTTCGTGCAATTCTTAGTGAAATACACAGAATTCAAATCTCAGTGGCTCAAGTTATCTTTATTTCTTTTGTTTTTCTTACAATGCTTGCTGTGTCATCATTGTCCTGAAGTAAGTTGAATACAAATTATTTTACACTTCATGAAGCAATTCTTTTTTTTAGTAATTTATTATACAGTACAACTTGTGTAATAATCACAAATTTTGTCTTATACAGGAAAACTTTTTAAAAGTCCATTGCAATTAATTAAATTGTTTTAAATGTTGTCTAAGCCTGAACGTTGTCAAATCCAGCTGACTTGTGTTGGAATTAGACAACAAATTTTACTGTATATTTTAAATATAATCAATTTGACTGTTTGATTAATATTGGAACTAGTCTATTTATATATAATATATGTGTTTGTCTTTTATTTCAGTATCTTTATTGCATTTATTCTTGAGGCATTTATACTGGAGTACACCATACAAAAGGTGGGAAAGTTGGAGTCTTATGTTGAACAAAAAATCCGTGATCTGGGATTAGGCCTTGGACAGTAAGTTTATTATATCAAAGTAATTAATCCTGTCAACTTTTAATTTTCAGTTGAGTATGAAAGGAGTATTAAAAATAATGAGATTTGATTTTTAAAAAACTACAGTGTATATATGTAGCAGTAAACTCGGGAGTAGCAAGGTTCTAGGGACTTGAGAGTTTACTGTGCTACATGTATATCTGTAATTTCTTGTATCCTAAAATAACCAAATTCTTGAAAGAATATATAATTATTATTTATCACAAAATGTGCAATACAATATATGCATGTTTCCTTCCTATGACAAAATTGTGCTATATTCAATGTGAATAAATAAATTCGCTATATCCATGGTTTGTACCGAATGATTTTCTGCACAAAATGTACTTCGAAGAATGACATCTTTTCTACTAGACTTTGTACATATATACTAGCCAAGCACTGACTCTCTTTTCTTTTCTTCATGCTTACAACACAAAACAAAACATTTTTCTACATGGACTTTTTCTATGTGTAGGACTGGCCCTAGACCACGTCAGTTGTCTACAGCAAATGATGGCTCTGAACTGGTTCCCAATGAGGAGCTGGCTAACGTTGACCAGCCAGACTCGGACTCCGATACAGAGAGTATTCCTGATTTATCCACAGAGAAAGGGCTCAGATTTCACCTCAAAAAGAAAAGTAAGAAATCAAGCTTTTACACAGAAATAAAAGTAAAATATTAATCAATTGATTTCGGAATACGTTTTACATTGAAAAATTGGTTGAGAAAGAAATTTTACTAATGGATAATCCAGATAAAAGTAATTCACTATATATAATAACTACCATTGTGGTTAATGGATAAAAAATATTGTACATATAATTTTTTTTGTTTATAAATATCTAATTTCCAAATTTCAATTCAAAATAAGCTATAAACTAATGTCATAAATACCTACATAACATGAAGATGACTATATATAGCTCTTCATCTTTACTGTATACAGGATTATTTTTGCACAGTATTATTTTTACATGCAAACAATTTTGCCACCCTTTAAATTCACCCATGCAAAATTTAGCTGAGGAGATTATGTTTTTTTTTTATTTGCTCAGTTTTAAATTGCCTACTAACAGTGAGGATGAAAAAGGCAAATATAAAACCGAGGCAAAAATTTCCTGTATACAGAATTTATTACAAGAATACCTGGGAATGTCCTTCAGTGTTCTGTGTTTATATTTGTAGGTCGCAAGAAGGTGGAGGTCCTGTTACAACAGATGTTTGAGGGGGAGATTGACCCCGAAGACGAGGGACCGGAAAATGAGACGGAAATTTATGTTGACAAAGGACCAAGGCGACTCACCCTGGACACTGTGGCTTAATCAACACAGAAGTCGAGGGGACAGAAAACATCAAAAAAGGACCAAGAAGACTCATCATAGACACGCTGGATTAATCATCAGTCTTCAGTCATCTTCATCAATTTGTCTTCCAATAAAATCAAAAGACTTATCTTTCTGTTAATATTTCGGAAGATCTATTTGATTTTACTTTTACAAATATTTGTTGTAAGTTGGTTGGCATTATTTATCTCATGTATCTATGAAGAAACTGAAGTTTTCCTTCATAGAATTTATCTTATGACTCCAGTTTTACTCTTATTTTTATTTTACTATGTCTACAGTGGAATTTTGAGTTCCATTTAGGACTGCATCATTATTTTTGGAACTTCCAGTAGACAGGATGTGATATGAATGATTTTGTTTTTCCCAACGAAACAAAGACATTTTAGAAGTTAAGGAATGAAATTGATGAAATGTTTCATCATTATAAATATACTACATGTATAAATTACCATGGACTTTGGTTAACATGGTGTTTTTACATTGTTAATACTCAGTTTCTTAATAATACTTTGTACACTGCTATTTACAGGTACATTATAGACACATACAATGTATTTATCAACGCATTGACACAATTCCTTACTTTTCAAAGAAAAGACTAATATGAAGGAATCAATGTGAATGCATAGATGGTTACATATTTATTCTCTGTGTTCATTTTATTAGCTCTACTGGTCAGAGACCAGAAGAGCTTATGCGATAGTAATGCGTCCGTCGTCCGTCCGTCTGTCTGTCCGTCTGTCTGTCTGTCCGTCTGTCTGTCTGTCTGTAAACAATCTTTCAAAATGCTACTCCTCCTACAGTTTTGGTCTGATTTCAATATAACTTGGCACACAAGTAGACTACACTAAGATACATAATTCTGTGTATCGGTTTTTGATTTTGATTAACGGTGTTGCCGTTGTTACTAAAAATAGAAATTTCTGTGAAATTCTTTCAAAATGCTACTTCTCCTACAGTTTTGGTCTGATTTCAATATAACTTGGCACATAAGTAGACTACACTAAGATACACAATTCTGTGTATCGGTTTTTAATTTCAATGAACGGTGTTACCGTGGTTACTAAAAATAGAAATTTCTGTGAAATTCTTTCAAAATACTACTCCTTCTACATTTTTGGTCTGATTTCAATATAACTTGGCACACAAGTAGACTACACTAAGATACATAATTCTGTTTATCGATTTTTGATTTCGATGAACGGTGTTGCCGTTGTTGCTAAAAATAGAAATTTCTGTGAAATTCTTTCAAAGTGCTACTCCTTCTACAATTTTGGTCTGACTTCAATATAACTTGGCACACAAGTAGACTACACTAAGATACATAATTCTGTATATCGGTTTTTGATTTTGATTAACGGTGTTGCCATTGTTACTAAAAATAGAAATTTCTATGAAATTCTTCAAAATGCTACTCTTCCTATAGTTTTGGTCTGATTTCAATATAACTTGGCATACAAGTAGACTACACTAAGATATGTAATTCTGTCTATTGGTTTTTGATTTCGATGAACGGTGTTGCCATGGTAACTAAAAATAGAAATTTCTGTTAAAAAATCTCAAAATGCTACTCCTCCTGCAGTTTAAGTCTGATTATAATATAATGTGGCATGCAAGTAGACTATACTATGAAGATAAAGAGACTTATCAAGGATCATTATTCTTTTTATTGCTGTGGTAAAGTTTCAAGTCCCAACTTCTTAAGAACTTTTCTCTTCCTTTGCTATAAGTACAAACCAGTAGAGCTTCAGTCTCGACAGAGACTTCTGGTTAAAAAAACTCTTTAAATATACTGGACGAGATTACTGGATGTTTGATTATGTTTTATGAATGGGAATGGTTTGTCTCACTGTTGTTAAGGAAAGTTGGTAGAAACAAACTTTTATAGAATAACAAGTCTTGAAAATAACATTTTCATTAAACTTTCCTTAAATAAAATTCAGAAGATCATTTTTAGTTCAAACTTTAAAAAGCTGAATTTTAAGTCAAATGAAAGGTCGCACGAGATAAAAAGGATGGCTGCTGAAAGGGTTTTGAACTTCGTAGAAAGTTTAAAATATATTTGGAAAGTTATTATTCTCTTCTTATTTAATCAAAATAAGTCAAGAAAAAAACTGTATAAGGTATCCATTTTTTTTCTATCATCTTCACTTGTAAGAATTTTTTTTTATATATGTCTGTGATATTCTTGGATAAGCAAAGTTTTAACACAAATTCTTCTCTTTACTGTTGTATTAAACACAATGAACTAGTCAATGTAAGAGATTTGAGATATGTGCAGTTGATTTTGCAAGGAAAAGAATGGTGCATATTTTACATTGATGTAATGTAACATTGGAACAGGTTTATAAATTTTCACTGTAAAATGTTTGTCAAGATCAATTGATTTGATTAAAATTTCATAACTTAAAAAAAGAAGGTTTTATTTTGATTATGAGGTAATATTGTGTTTCAATGTTAGTTTGGCACTCTTTCATCCAAACATCATTGAAAGTCTCTAAAATCCTTCCTTTTAGGAAGGAAAACCTTGCATTAATAATATTTATAAGTTCAAAAGCATCATCACAGAATATTATATACTAGACTAAGTATATATTCAAGACTGTTCAAATCAGGCGCCGGGCCTTGGAACGAGGGCGGAAGAGTAATTGATGATTGAAGTTTTACATAATAAGACATCGAGTAAATCTCACATGATGCAAAACCATGATTAAAAATTTTAAGAAATATAAGGATATAAGAAACAGTATTAATTCATGCTCAAAAGTCCATTAAACAATACAAATCTAGAACAGAGCAAACACAGACCTTAAAAATATAGAGATGGGATCAGGTGTCTTTGATACCCATGATTAATTATAGTTCAGCTTTCCAGGTGAGCTTGAAATAAAAGATACCACAGGGTCTGATACATGTACATTGTGTTAATGGTTATGATAAGCCTGCTGATTGTAACTTTTCAATCTTCAACTTCCCTCACTTATCATGCTTATGCAGCAATAAACCTTCATCACCTGCATACAGAATTTCTATATCCCAAATGATTCAATAAGGAAGAGAATTCGTTAAAAGTCATCATTTCGTTAAGTTCTTTGGTCGATACAATGACCTTTTCAGCAAATACAATCTATCATTAAGTGAAATGCTGACTCATTATTATACATAGTAATTGTTAATTGTTGAATGCTGATTGCTAATTCAAACCTACCTATTATCTAACATTCTTTAGTAAAGCGAATTCATCGCTACCTCAAGATTTTATCTCAAAACAGTCAGCTGAAGTAAACAATCAAACCTACAACGATTTAAAAAAGGCAAACAAGCGAATAATTCAATTTACAAAGATTTGATTTTTCAAAAAAAACATATATATACGAACACCTGCGGGTGCAGGAAAACTTAGTGGACACAGAATTTCCCTTCTCTTTCGTATTTATCAATTAACATGATTTATAAACAAGATTTCATCTTAGAAGATGTCACAACAGAATTAATATTTACAATAAATCTATTAAATCAAGCAGGAGATAATTGAACTTGAAATATTCCTCTCAGTAAATCTTCAATGTCCGGATTGATAACATTTATCAATAGATCCAATAAATGAAGATGTATTGACGACGGTCATCATACAATTCATGTACGAAATAAGAGAGAGAGAGAGAGAGAGAGAGAGAGAGAGAGAGACCTTGGCTGACTTGAACACGAATATCAGCAGTCTCGTTTAAAGTCAACATTTTGTAAGTTCTACGGCTGATACAATGATCTTGTCAGAAAATACAATCATTAAGTCAAATGTTGACTGAATTTGTTTATCCTAATTGTTAGGCCAAAATTTACACATTGAATTATTGACAGATTTTTCATTATTTCCTATAATCATGACAAAGAGCAAACGGCAGATGTGATCTTTCGGCTGGGGATGCTTACTCCCCCATGGCACCTGATCCCACCTCGGATGTTTTAGAGGTCCATGTTTGTTCTGCCCTTGATTTGTATTGTTTTACGGACTTTAGCGCTTGAATAATGAATACACTTCGTTATCTCCGAATGTTTCATCAATGTGCTATCCTTGTTTTACACCGAATTTTTACGGAAAGTTCCGCCTACCTGATCAATATAATAATATATAGGGTTCACGGCGGATGATTCCTCTTCACAGGCACCTGATCCCACCTGATCCCATCTGATCCCACATCCGGACTTTTCATGGTCCCTGTTTTATGCCCTTTAACCATATTTGTATCGCTTACAGCTTTTTAGGGATTGTTCCGTTATCTACTACTTTTCATTTTGTTGCAACCTCTTGATGAAGCATCATCCATGCATACATCCGGTTGGCTATTTTTGTCCTTTTTATTAACGGAATTTCCAAGACACATTGCAATTATTGAATTCTTGAAAGAAAATATGTCTAAAAGGCAAATATAAAGAACATAAAAAGTTTAATTCAAATTAACAGATTACCTGATTTTGTTTGTTTTGCTCGGTTTTCTTCGTGTTTTTATTTGTTCGACCTAGCGCTTCTCATCAGCTGTAGCTTCTGTGGTTTTATTGCGTATTTTCAATACCAAATCTAATGCTCTTCGGCTATTTTTCTATAGGACATCTATTTTTTTAATATCCGGAGCACTCGACAAGAAATACGTTCATGAGTGAATAATTAGTATTAAGATACATGGGATGCCTAAACATATACTTTATCGGACGTTTCTGGGTTGATGTGATTTTCTTCGAATCAAATCAAATCAGAGCCTCTTATTGTTTTTATGGACATGATGCTGTGATATATATATAAGGTTGCGCACATTATAGATGAGCTCTGCATTCTCTTATAACTCTGATAAAGACGTATTCAAACTTTCCAAGTCGTGACTCTCCAGGTAGGTTATTTGAATTTATTTTTATTTTCAAATATTACATTTACCTTTATCGGAAATATCTTTGAATTAATAATTTTTTGGGCTTAACTTTGCAATAATTTTTAGATATCGAAATTCCTAACTCTGTGCTCAGTTTGATTGTTTTTTTTTCTAAATAAGTATTTGATTATTTTATTTTAAGTATAAAATAAGGTGATTTATTCATTCTTGATCCTTCTGCTGGTTTTGCTCTATTTATCCCAAAAAGTTCGATTTCAGCGGTGATTTTTTTTTAATTTCTACTATTACATGTATGGTTACCAAATTTACATTTATTTTCTAAAATTAAACGTGCATGTATTAAACGTGTAATCATTAATTATTTTCAAATAAGATACGAAGTAAGTATTTCTAAATGAAAATCAATGTAGATTTTTTTTTTTGCACAATAAGTTTAGTATATATTTTGTTAAAAATCAAAATAACGAACAGTAATTATTGGCTTTAAAAAAATCTACAAACATTATACAAATAAATGAAGAGGGCATACATGGGTCCCCTGACGATACTAGAGGTGGAATCAGGTTCCCAGGAGAAGTGAGCTTCCCCTGTTGACCGATCAAGCTGTTTAAATGTACGTTTTTAAAATGACAATATACTTTATGTTAATCAGTGCTCTAGAATATAGAATTAATTGTTTTTTTTGTCAAAAAAAATCCTTGAAAATCTAAAATAGCAGTGAAAATGTAAAATAGCTATGCACTAAATAAAAGAATATAAAGCATCCATGATGCATATTTCAAAAATTTAAGATAACTTTATCGGATCATAGTTCGAGTTTCCGAAGAAAAATAAGGAGATAAACAACAGCATTCAAAAGGGTATTTTTAGGCTTTAAGCCTGTTGCCCAATCTTTTCAGTATATACTGAATAAAATATTGTTATTAAAAAAGTATTCAAGATCAAAAGTCCATAGAATGATACAAATAGGAGCAGAGCAAACACGTACCTCTAAAACGTCAGAGATGGGATCAGGTGCCATGGAGGAGTGAGCATCACTTGCCTACACAGAAACATCGTCCCGTCCATTCTCTCTATATTTTTCCTGTTCACATTTCTTATCCACAACCCTAATATCTTTATTATTCATATGTATATATGCGTTTTTGTGAATCTCTTACTTTATATTTCATTCGGACCAATTTTATGGCTCCTTATTGTATGATATGAACTTAACTACTCATATGGGAGAGAGGGTCGTTTTGTATGCTCACTGAGCACACTTCGTCTTATTGTAAAACTGAAATATGTTTTATGCCATTCTCTATTTCCTAATATTGAATTTCATGAATAATGGAAATGATATCCTTTATGGCTATAAATTTCAAGCAAACCGATGGGAATATTATACAACAACTACACATGTAACAATTTCAACTTCAATACTGCGTTTCTGTCAATTCAATCTATAGAATTAAAGACCCATTTCTATTTATGTCCGTAGAGAGATTTTGATCCTGCTATATTCAATTAACTAAATGGCAATGCCTGTCTAATCAGGGAATCCACGTGACGTCACACAATAAAAATAGCACCTACAGCTTACGTAATGTCTATTTATAACTTAATGGCTATGCCTGTCTAATCAGGGTTTTATTTTGTTAACAATTTTTCCATGAATGCTTAAAACCAATTCTTTAAACCTAAGTAAAAAAAATTCCGTATAATGGATTAAAAAGATAAAATAAATTTGTAATAATTAAACCATTTTATAAAAAGAATGGAATATATGGAGAGAACGAACAGTATTCAAGATCAGTAGGAGCAGAGCAAACACTGACCTCATAAACATCAGAGGTGGGATCAGGTGCCTTGAGGAGTGAGTATCCCCTGCCGACTGGTTACACCTACCGTGTGCTCCTTGTCATTATCGGGAAATAAAAAGAAGCAAGGAATACATAAGATGGATTAGTATTGAAGACTGAATAAAGTGCTATTAATAATCTATTACAAAATCAAATATAACGCCAAGTAATTTTATAAAAACATTATATTAGATCAATATTTAGTGTATGAAAAATTCATTTGCTTACATTTTTCGATTTAAATAAGCAAAGGCTTTATATCTCCATTTTTCCTGACACGTTTCCCATGTTAAAAATGTATTAGTTAATTTTAAAATATCCTCTTTACACTTTCTAGTTTTAACTTTTCTAAAGTCATAACCCGAAAAACATTTTTAACAGTGTTTAGAGAGTCCTTTAACTGAATAATTTTGTCGATGCCCCCCCCCCCCGCAAAAAAACATCATTTCCACACCTTCTCAAAGATTTCTAAACTTCTTGTTTAGCAAATTCATAATTTTCTCTTGTTTATTAAACGCCTGTGGTTTCTGCAGACTCGTTGAAAATACGTATTAGATTTTAACATTTTTAACATTTTCATCAATAGGATCTTAAGTTATTGACTTAACATTTGTTTAATACCCGTGTTTAAAAATATATTTATCGACGAGCAAATTACCCTGTTATTAATCAGAAGTCTTTCCCTTTTTTTTGTATTTTGAAGTGCATCAAAATGAGTAAAAACACAACGATGGGGACTTCAGACACCAATGAGATGGCGACAGTGAAGACGATACACTGGGTATCATCGTCTGTAATCGGTGTTATATTTATCGTCTTTGGAATCGTCGGAAATATCCTCTCACTAATCGTCTGGAGTCGGAAGTCGATGCGTTCTTCTACCGGCACTTTCCTGATTTTCCTGTCGCTAGCAGACATCTCCCTTCTACTGATGTTTCTTTTGACCGACAGCATTATTCAGATGAGTCCCTCTATTCTTGCCTCAAGGGACTTTGGGATGTTTTACGCCTACTTTGGGTATCCTTTCTTCTTTCTGGCGTTCATTTTAAGCATCTGGATGCTTGTTGGTGTTACGGTTGACAGATATCTTCAAGTCTGCTGGCCTCTTAAAGCCAAGGTAAATGAAATAAAAATATCAAAGTCTGAGTGATTGATTGTAGGTTGTTTAACGTCCCTCCCATGAATTTTTCACTCATATGGAGACGCCACCACTTGCCGGTGGAGAACTACAAACTTTGTCCTGTACTCGGCACTCAGGGCCATTGAACAGGGAGGGATTTTTTCGTGCCAGCACATACTGCGCCACGGGACCTCGGTTTATACGGTCTCAAGATAACAGAGAAAGTGTTGATCTAAATGTATCTTTTTGATTTTGGATATTTCCACATTAAATCAGCATGTACAATACGGTTCTGAAATATGTTTTGCTATAGACGTTTCTCTTTTACTGCAGGTGTCATGGACACAACGCCGAGTTTGTATTGGAGCTGGGTGTATATTTCTTTTCTGTTTCATCGTCAATATTCCACATTTCAAAACGTTTCAACCGGCGGATCCCGCAATTTACGGAAAGGCATTCTCCTACACAGATTTTGGAAAAAGCGAGGGAAGTTTAAAATATGAGTTTTGGGTACACTGTATGTTCTTGGTTCTGTTCCCATGGCTCTCTCTTTTAACTTTTAATATTCTTATCATAAAAACGGTTGTAACATCAAACCGGATGACAAAGCTAAAGAAAGAGAATTCTCGAAAAACGGAATCGCAACTCACCCGTCTTTTGTTGACCGTGACCTTCACCTTCATGATTCTAATTATATTACAGTGTGTTGCACAGTGCTTCTATATGCTACAACCAGGCAATGTGAGTAGTATTTGTTTAAATATTATAAATATTTTACATATGCTGTTCATTGCATTTGAATATTTATAAATCAACAAGTACTTAACATGTTTTTTTTTTTTTTTTTAGTAAAAATGATGTTGAAAATTTAATTATAGCTTATCCTGATGAGTCAAAAACTTTAAAGTTTATGTTGAGAAACTTTTTCTACATACCTTATGATTAACATAGTAGTTTAACATTTTAAAAATGTTCGAAACTTTGAAGATTGCTTGTTATGCCATTGAATATTACTTTACAGGTCAATATGCGTATGGTGGACGAGGCGTTCTCAGTGGCCAAACTTGGATGCGTTGTTAATTCCTCTATAAACTTTTTCCTTTACTGCTACAGTGGTCGAAAATTCAGGAATGAGCTGAAGAAAATGTGCCACAATACCTGCAACAGAAATTCTACAGTTCTAAAAAGTTCGGTTTACTCCTTAAGTAATAACTCTTCCTCCTCATAAAACTAATGTCAAGTTCAAATTTTAAATTTTAAAATTAAATTTTTGTGTACCTGTTAAATTGTTTAATGTATAAAAAATATGTTACAGGACAAAAATTTGATACTTTTCTTTTACTACTCGGGCGAAAAATAACAGAGGAGAACTAAAACATGATGGAATTAGAATTTTTTTTTTAAAGAATCAACCGGTGACCTTGCGAACAAATTTCATTTTGATTGACGTTGGCTCTATGTTACATGTATAAACCAGCACATGCTTGCTTATAATTACTTTAGATAAATTGAATCAATCCTATTGTATGCATTCCTAATGACAAACTTGCAGTTAAAGATACTTCACTTAATATAATTTTAATCACTTTATATTATATCGACTACTTAATGATAATAAATTTTTATATCTGTCATTTAAGTTCCTTTGTTTGTGCAAAAAAAAAGATTATGATAAAACGTTGCGGAAACAATTAAAACTAGTGCTAATTGTAACGGGGACCGTTACAGATGTTCCCCAAACGCTCCCCAACTCCCTTTTGGTGCCATATTCCCTGTAAGCTTCATTAAAGAAGACAAAAACTTATGCATTTGAGACTTTAACAACGCCAAGTTCATTCAAATTTAAGCATTGCACGCGTTCGCATGTGAATGCATGTGCATAATGACAATATCATCTTGTCTACACAATCTATCTATTTTTTATTTACTAAATACTAGTCTTCGAATATTTAATCCAAAAGTATTTAAAAATTTGCTCATTCCAGTGTATCTTTTTTATTTAACCAATTTCACGTGCACACACGTGCATATATGAGCATGGTGACCATATCTTCTTGTAGAAGTCCATTACATCTATCTATGTTCTAAATCCCATCCCGTTTGGTTGAAAACCAAGGAATTTTAAGCTGTTTAAAGTTTAAGCCAATCAGATTACAGCGCACGTACACGCACGTGTATGCATGTTCATGGTTACCATACCTTCTGGTAGAAGTTCATTATGTCTATCTATATTCCAAATCCCATCCTGTTTGGTTGAAAACCAAGGGAGTTATAGCTGTTTAAAATTTCAGCCAATCAGATTACAGCGCACGTACACGCATGTGTATGCATGTGCATGGTGACCATACCTTCTTGTAGAAGTTCATTATGTCTATCTATATTCCAAATCCCATCCTGTTTGGTTGAAAACCAAGGGAGTTATAGCTGTTTAAGGTTTCAGCCAATCAGATTGCAGCGCACGTACACGCACGTGTATGCATGTGCATGGTGACCATACCTTCTTGTAGAAGTCCATTATATATATCTATGTTCCAAATCCCATCCTGTTTGGTTGAATATCAAGGGAGTTATAGCAGTTTAAAATTTCAGCCAATCATATTGCAGCACATGTGCATGCACGTGTTTTCATGATTATTGCTATATATCATGTTGTATGATATCCTAATGCATGGCTATGTACAAAATTTCAAAGGATTTCGTCAAAAAACAAGAAAGATATTGAGACTTTAGTTTCAGCCAATCAGAGCAAAGCGCACGTGCATGCGCGTGAGATCTTGCTATTTTGACCATGTCCTCTTGTCTATACTACTAATATATCCTTACATTATGAGTTTCAAAGCATTTCATCAAAAATTAGAAAAGTTAAGGCAATATACATTATATTGGCCATTTTACGTGTTGCACGTGCTCGCTCTTGCAAGCACGTGCGCGCAAAATGACCTTTGTTCGGCAAATCTACATAACATGTCTACTGACCCTAAAACATTTTACCTTACTCAGATGTGTAGTTTACAAGAACACTTGAGGACAAAATTTTCCCAGGAAGAAAAATAATAATAACTAGTGCTAATTGTAACGGGGACCGTTACAGATGTTCCCCAAACGCTCCCCACCTCCCTTTTGGTGCCATATTCACTGTAATCTCTATTAAATAAGAAATACTTTATTGAATTTAGACTTAATGAGTCTTCCAGAAAAATACAAAATATATTTAAAAATAGGCATTGCACGCGTGTTCATTTGCGTAACGACCATATTATCTTGTCTACACTATCTAAAATTTTAATATACTTAATATCAAAACATTTAATCCATAAGTATTAAAAAATACACTCATTCGAATGTATTTTTAATTTTATTCATTTTGCGTGCACACACGTGCAAGCACGTGCATAATGACTACACCTTCTTTTAGAAGTCCCTTATATATATCTATGTTCTAAATCCCATCCTATTTCGTTGAAAAACAAAGGAGTTATAGCCATTTAAATTTTCAGCCAATCAGATTGCAGCACACGTGCAAGCGCGTGATTTCATGATTTTTCCTATATCATATTTTAGGATATCCCAATGCATGACTATGTTTCAAATTTCAATGCATTTCGTCAAAAAACAAAGAAGATATAGCCATTTAAAGTTTCAGCCAATCGGATTGCAGCACGCGCGCATGCGCATGCTTTCATGGAAATTTTTATATATCATGCTGTAGATCTTTATAATGTAGAACTATGCTCAAAATTTCAAAAGATTATGACAAGAAACAAGAAAGATATTGAGACTTTAGTTTCAGCCAATCAGAGCAAAGTGCACGTGCATGCGCGTGAGATCTTGCTATTTTGACCATGCCATCTTGTCTATACTACTAATGTATCCTTATATTATGAGTTTCAAAAAAATTCTTCCAAAAAAAGAAAAGTTACAGTAATTTCCTTTATATTGGTCATTTCTCGTGTTGCACGTGCGCGCTCTTGCAAGCACGTGCGCGCAAAATGACCTTCGTTCGGCAAATCTACATAACATGTCTACTGACCCTAAAAACATTTTACCTTAGTCGGATGTATAGTTTACAAGATCACTCGAGGACAAAATTTTCCCAGGAATAATAATAATAATAATAAGAAACAGAGTAAAAACAATATGTTCCCCAACTTCGTTTGGGGAACATAATAATAATAATAACTAGAGCAAAGCTCGTTGCAAAGCAACGAGTAGGTCTTCCGTCATGTTTGACCGGAAGTAGCTTTCATTTTTAACAGAAATGAGAAATAACGCCAAAAATTGTTTTAAATCCTTAAAATCCATGTTAATTAATGCAAAAAAAGCCATTTTTTGCTACTTCCGGTTTGACCGGAAGTGACGACGACGGACGGAAAATTAGTTTTAATGCTCCCAGAGACATATGTTACCAAAAAACTTGTCAGGAACTCCAAAAATAGGCGTTTTCCGACTACTTCCGGTTTGACCGGAAGTGACGACGCCGGACGTATTTTGACGACTTCAATAGATTAAGCTTGACATTTTAAACAACTTTGCTTCTTTGACGTATCAAAAATTCTCAATACTTTTTGAGATATAAAGGAAAAACTTTCGGCCCCTACAGGCCCCTAATTTAAGGGGCCAGCCCTTTTTTCGAGATGTCATTAACAAGATCTTGAAATTCTACATCTTTTTTGTTCTACATGCTTTAACAAAATATTTCTAGGTAAAAAGTTATCGTTGAAATGGTGCTTAAAATTTTGAAATTCTTGATAGGACTATTTTCGGGCCATAGCGAGCGTCGGCGCTTCGTACTTCAGGTAGTTGTGATATACTTAGTGCACTTCTCCAAAAGTTGCTCTAGCATCACTGAAAATTTCAAGCTTCTGTGTTAAGTGCTTTTTGAGAAAACTTCCGGACAAAGTGACCCTCTAAAAATCACTAAATCGCAGAAAACTCCGAACCGGAAGTGACGTCATCAAAATAAAAAAATATATATCTAGATTTTTTGATGTTCTATCAGACCTGAAAGTTTCATGAAAATCGATCGAGCCGTTCTCGAGAAATCGCGCGCACAAAATCGGTAAGAAAAAAAAACAATAATAAAAATAGTGGAAAAGAAACCTAAGAAAAACAATAAGGTCTTCCGCTGAAGACGGAAGACCTTAACTAGAGCAAAGCTCGTTGCAAAGCAACGAGTAGGTCTTCCGTCCTGTTTTGACCGGAAGTGCCGGATGTGACGTCAACAAAAGAAAGCAATGAGCGAAGTCGTCTCCAGTAATTTTATAATTTCAATTTTTCGTTAAAAACCTTGATAAACCACTCATGAAAAATATTTTTTTGGCAAATCTACTGAATTACTTAATGTTAAACGAACACTTAATCGAAGTTTCTGAGCTAAAATAAACATTTTCAAAACAGAGCTTATGATTTCTTGTGATAGCCACATCACTGTGGTATAAATAAGGTCGTGCACATTTGATAAATTATTAACGCGTTCATAGCTCGGACGAGGGCCAAGTCAAACTAGCCAGGTATACGAACAGGTAAGATATCTTGTATTTGATATAAAACATATTTTTAAACATCAAATATAGTCATTAAATGAAATTATATATTGGGAAATGTTTCAAAAGAAAATAAGTATTAGCAATGCTTCATTTAACAAAGATTTTTATAGAAATAAATTTAATAACATTTTGATTATTAATTTTTATTTGTACATTCTTTTTTAAAAGTATAAAATATGTCAAAGAAATTCTGATTTATCTACATTCTCTAATTTTTATATATTCTTTAAAGGATTTTTTTTTTACATAATATAATATAACCGTAAATGTACATGTACGTTATTAGTAATTATTATTTCAAAATATCCTTTAATTGAAATCATTGTTTCTATACACGCCCAAATACAACACAAAAATAATACCAAGGCTTATGAACAAATAACAAATGATGAAACCTATATTCAAAGAAAAATAATTTTAGCTAGTTTTTTCCTCAGGGTTTATTTGTAACAAATGTACAGCATTATTTGGCATTATAAAATTCTCAAAAATGTTCTTCATTAAAAGAAGATGGGCGTATAAGGCGGGCAGAATGCCTATAGCGCGACAGATAAGAAGTGGAAAAATTTAATCTCAATTATATCCAAATTTTATGTCATATCTCATCTAATATTAAAGTATACTTAATGTAAAATCTCTATTATTCACAAAAATCTCACAAAAACTGAAAATATTTGCCTATGAAAAAGCATACACTGACTTAAGAGAACAAAAACGATAATTTTTTC